GCCTTTTATGAGCGCCTAGAGCATACTTACGAGCGCTGCCCCCGACACGACGTGAAAATCGTGCTTTGTGGGCAAAGAAGGTATCTTTGGTACAACTGTTGGACAAATGGTTGTCTGTAGTACTAGATTCCAGCACAATAAAATACATCAAGTAGCTGTCCTCTGATCGGAAAACGAAGAACGCCCGTCAACAAACACAAAGGAAGTTCGACGATGAAAAGCTGCAATCACAACAGACTGCCGAACGAGGTTCTACTCGACTTGCACTCCTGTTCTCTGTGAGCACTCATCACCAACTCGGTATACGGGAACTGTGGGACGGCATTTCAAGCTCCCTACGTACAGCTGCAAACGAAACTATTGGATTTCGTAAAGGTCGCAAAAACAGCTGGTACGATGAGGACTGCCGTGTCGCAGTGAGTATGAAAAGCTTGAGAAGCTGGTCGACAAGAGTAATGCTCGATAATTCTACGAGAAGATACAACGACTTACCGAAAGTTTCAAGACCAGAGCCGACTCATGTAGGACACAAGGATGTGATCTAGCCACCGATCCCCAGAGTATATTGAATTTATGGAGGGAACACTTCTCCAACCTGCTGAATAGTAGTGAAAATGGAGAATCCGGAGATGGTGAACCCGAAACCCCACCTGACCATGAAGAAGTTCGAATAGCAATCGCCCGCTAAAAAAACAACAAAGCGGCGGGAGCTGACGGCCTACCGGCAGAACTATTCAAAAAAAACGGTGAAGAGCTGATTAGGTGCATGCATCAGCTACTTTGCAGAATATGGTCAGGCGAAAGCATGTGCCAATTGCCGTGGAATAAGCCTTCTTAGTATCGCCTATAAGGTCCTGTCGAATGTATTGTGTGTAAGACCGAAGCCCACCGTCAACAAACTGATTAGACCAACTTCAATTTGATGCTGGAGAGAATAATAAGAGCTGCAGAGCTGAATAAAGAAGGTACAATCTTCTATAAGAGTGTATAATTGCGGGCGCACGCCGATGATATTGACATTATCGGCCTCAACAACCTCGCCGTTAGTTCTGATTTCTCCAGGCTTGATAAAGAAGCGAGGCGAATGGGTCTGGTAGTGAACGAAGACAAGACGAAATATCTCCTTCATCAAACAAACAATTAATAGTCATAATTTTGAAGTCGTAGATAATTTTGTCTACCTAGGAACCAGCATCAACACCAACAATAACGTCAGCCTTGAAATCCAAGGCAGAATCATTCTTGCCAACAGGTAGGCAATTGAAAAGTAAAGTCCTCTCTCAGCGAACGAAAACCAGAAGTTCCTCATCGTTCCCGTCTTGCTATATGGTGCGGAAGCATGGACGATGACAACATCTGATGAGCCGGCGTTAGGAGTTTTCGAGAGAAGGTTTTGCGTAAAAACGATGAGCTGTTCGAGTTATACGGCGACGTTGATATAGTTCAGCGAATCAAGAAGCAGCGGCTACGCTGGATGGGTCATGTGGTCCGGATGGATGCGAATACTCCTGCTTTGAAAGTTTTCGATGCAGTACCCGCCGGTGGAAGCAGAGGAAGAGGAAGACCTCCACTCCGTTGGAAAGACCAGGTAAAGAAGGACCTGGCTGTACTTGGTATTTCGCATTGCCGCCAAACAGCGAAAAGAAGAAACGAATGGCGCAATGTTGTTGAATCGGCCAAAATCGCATAAGCGGTGTCTGCGCCAGTAAAGTAAGTAAGTAAGTAAGTAAGGTGTCAGCGAAAGGGACGTAGATTTATCAAAAATAAGACATGCTGAGGTATATAAATTTGAAATGGTGTGAAAAGAGAGCGCAGTCTTTGTTGTAAAGAAATTAATTGACTGAGAAACTCGCTGCGAACTCAATCACTGGTTACGGAGGAAAGACGATGGGCAAATGAGTCAGAAACCAAAATTAAAATTATTGAATTGAAGAACCACGCAATACGTGGCTCAAACGCATTATTTGTAGCCGGTAACGTTTCGTATCAATGGCTTCGCCTGATTTGGCAGCTCATAGTACAATACACAACGCTGAAGTGCTCACCAAGCTTTCCACAAGCATTTGAGGAGCTTTCGACTTTTTTCGCTTTTGGGCGTTAGTCTTGCCAGTACTTGAACCCATGTCCATCAATGTGTCGGCTACTAACGTCGCCAATGCTTCAATATTTTCCGATTTCGAACAGCTTGAAATTGCCAGTTATTGAGCATATTGCAAACTTTTGGCTGCAATATTTGCCACTATGTATCGTAGTGAATTTACTTATTTTCTTTGAGTAAATTTTCCAATTTCATGGCTCATTTTCCATTCATCGATGAAGGCAACACACAAAAGCCAAGTAAACATGTACACATACAGCGTTTGACAAGCTTACTGCTTAACTGTTTGAGTTAAGTTACAATCAATAGCGCGCTGGTTTTTCACCGTTTCCACTTTGGCAACTTCAACGCCCGCTATTTATATAGTAATTCACTCTTTTTCCATGTTTTTCAGCAGCTGCCAGATAATTTGCAACATTAAGCGCTGATTACTTTCAACATTATCCCTCTTAATTCCTTCATACTTATAAAATCTATCCTTTTTTGTGCGATCCACATATTTCTTTTAATTTTTTTCTATTTGGCGCTCATTACGATTTATTTCCAATTCAACTGCATTTGATTTTCACTGATTTTCTTGGAGCATCCTTCAGTTTTGCTGCTTTTAATTAGCGTTGGCGGTGCAGCCATTGAATTTATTTTATTTACATTTCTATTAGAAGTTTTTCATTCATGTACCTACCGTTTCCCCTCCCCCGGTTTCAGGTAAAAGTTCGTTGCTTTCAGTTGCGCGCCAGTCGCCAGTCGCCACTCGACATTCGCCATTCAATTTGCTTCGTTTAAATATGAAAAGCTGTGAGGAAATATCTGCCAGGCCATGATGCAATTTTTCTACACCATTTTATTTTTATGCTCGACAGCAATACTCGTATATGCACTAATGTATGTATGTGCTATGCATTCGATTTTACAAGCACTCTCACCATACGCAGCAGCGCTACGGATTCGCAATTGCATTTATATCTCTCCGTACTATGCTGCCGGTCCCATTCCATTGAGGCGCACAAGTATCGTATTGCGGTGTAAATATGCATAAAAATGTATCACTGTGCGGTTTATATGTATGATTGCATTTTGTTGTTGCTGCTACGCTGTTGCATATTTCTTTGTATCGCATATACATACATACATACATACATACATACATACATATGTACATATGTACATATAAATATCTATGTGTAATTGCATGCTTGCTGGTTGTTTTCCAGTTGGCTACATTTTGTATCTTTTCCATTTTAGAAGTGCATTTTTTGCAAAAAAAAAAAGAGCGAAAATAAAAGATTTTCAGGAATATATAAAAGGATATGCGTTTTTGTTTAGCAATTTCATGTACCATTATTTAGGATATTCGTAAAGGAATAAGGGATTTTAGCCCTGTAGGACTTAGTTGTAGAAAGCAGTTCAAAAAGTTACAGTTACTTTAGTGTCATTAAAAATATATGCTTAGTAAAATGTAATAATTGTAATCAGTAACTTATGGAGTTCGACCTTGGATCGTTTAGAGAGGACTTTACTTTTCGATTGCCTACCCACTCCGAAGCAGCACCTGTTGGCAAGAGTAGTTCCCAGTCACGGTACTGCAACCAAATAAACGTTAACTTTCAGGTTGTATACAATTTTGTCCTTGTTGGAAAGAGCTTAGCAATTTCGGCCTTCAAATCCAAACCAGAATCTCACTTGCCAACGGATGCTACTTATGACTGAGAAGGTAATTGCAAAGGCGACCCCATCAGCGCTACATATATCAATCTGCCACATAGTGCAGGAGCATAACAATTTGCTATGAGTCAGCGTAAGGAGTTTCGAGAGAAGATTTGTGTGGCTGCACGAATAGGCGTAAAGGCGAAATTAACAGACAATTTAAACACAGAGTAAGTCCTCTATGTTCTATAAGATGCTGAACACACTGGAGGAAGCAGGGGAAAAATAAGAGCTCCATCTTGGTAGAGAAAAAAGTGAAATGTGTTTGAAAAATATCAGTTATGTTTTAAATCAGTCTCGCTTTCTGTGGGACAACGATTTTTAGAGAAAAATAAACATAGACACTGCAGCGTTAATCTATTGGGACGCTTGTTAACAGGTAGGACTATAAACGAAATCAAATTCGATCCAGAAGCGAGAGCAAGTACAAATGACAGCTTTTTTTACCTACAAGTGCCAAAGGATGGCAAAGAAAACATTCAATGTTCAACACTCAAATCATACCGTCGACGTGGCAACGGGCAACTCACTTGAGCGCCGAATACCATGCAACTGAGAAAAACCATCAGGTTTTGGTTTCGCAACCTTTTTCAAATAACAACTTTATATGGTTGAAATAATTTTTTAACCGGAATGAATTGCTCAAAAAAGATAGAAAAGGAAGAATTCTTGAACATACACTTCTCAAACAAATAAAAAAAAGTAACTTTTCATTTTAGTTTGGGAAAGCTTAAAAAGTTGTATCAAAGGGAACGCTCAGTTTTAATGAGAGTGTACAAAAGAGAAGAAAATTTGTATTCGAGAATGCATGCGTAATGCCGGGGGGAGGAGCAAAACGTTATTATTTAGTTCTTTTCGTACGCTTATTAGGCTTTTAACAGAGCTTTGAAACAGTAAAGACTGGCCCAATGGCTTTAGTAGAGTATAATTGTGACGTCAATATTAGCACCTTTTACAACGTTAGTCGACCTCTGAAGTCCTGAGTCGATATTTTTAACTCAAATGCTTTATTCATTTTCTTTTTATATGTAACAGCGGTTTTTTTTATTTATTCTCGAGTTCAATATTTAATTATTTCTTAATGACAGCAATATTTATTAGCTAACTATACATTTTAAGTTTCTTAATTAATTTAAATTTTATTCTATTTCTTAATTTTTTGTCAGAATAAATTATATAATATACATATGTGCTTATATATACTTCCAAATTACAATAATAAAGTATTATCATTAGATTTCTAATGTTAAATGTAATTATTGTACAACAAAACAGAGTCCTTAACGCATATTTCGGGTATTTACAGTGAAATTATATAAACATTAGCATATCTAAATTAAATTTTCACTAAATTATTCAGCAAAGGCCCTTTGTCTTACAACGGACAGCCATGCACGTAGCCAACGTTGCGGAATATTGCCGCCGCCGCAGCCGATGTAAGAAAATTGCATGGGTTCGTTGAGCTGAAAGTCGATAAGCCAGTTGGACAACAGCCTAGTCCTGTGCCAGCAGTGCCATCGCCAGCAAATTCTTTCTCTAACGTCGCTTGATGGCGCAATTGTTCAAGACGCAATTGATTTTGTCGCTTCCATTTAGTGCTGTTGCGATAAAAGTGAATAAAAAGTGAATAAAAAGTGCAATTAATAAGTGAATGAGAAAGTGAAATAAAATAAAAAAGACTCTCTACCGTCTATTCTGGTACCAAGTTTTCACTTGTGTTTCAGATAAATTGAGCGTCTCGGCCACATCGCTGCGATCGGCAACAGATAAATACTTTTGACAGCGAAACTTGCGCTCTAGATAGGCAAGTTGAGCGTGCGTGAAGGCGGTACGTCGTCGTCGTGGTTTGCGTCCACTCTTATTTAAACTTAAGCCCAACTTGCCATTGTGCATATGGTCGCCACTGCCACTGCCACCGCCACCATAACCATGTGTTTGCAAATGCGTAGCGCGCAATTCCAAGTTATTATTATTATTGGCCGTTGCGGCAGTGCTGATGCCGATGGAATTTCGGTTGGGATTATTGCCAAGCTCGTCACCATTTGGTGAATGCTGGTTGGATTCAACGCTGGACTCATTCACCATGAAATTTAATCGTCTGCCATCTTGCGCCGCCGAGCCATAGCGATGACTGTGCAGCATATCCGAATCGGTTGAAGAACGATCCTCTATGTCGATTTCTGAATTGTCATCGGATAACTCGGAATCTATAAGAAGGGGGAAAAAGAGAAGAGTTAAGGACTACGCAGTAAACAAGTAAGTGTAAGAAAAGTAGTTTGGAACAAAATTCACAATTTTCTTTTTATTAAATTGAAATTAAGTCCTCATGCAAAAGGAAGCCGAACTTCGTGTGCAGTCACAGCGGTCCCAACTGACGTTGGTGCCAGTCAGCGCTGTGACGGCAAACCGTTATTTTGCTCATTAGAATCCCGTTGTGCTGCTCGTGTAAACGCTTAACCGCCCATGCAGAATCTCCAGCAATGCTTGGGCGTATAAAAATAACAATCGTAAACTTAACTCTCCACAGAAAATATGTGCTTATCCTTCGGCAGACGCCCACTCAATATGTAAGCTGTGCCAAATACCGCATTACATACATATACGTATAGATATATACGAAGTGGGATATTTTCTTCCTTTATAAACGTGGAAATGCTGGGCATAACTGAAGCTCACATACCTACTGAAATGTGATGAATGTGTTATATGTACATATGTACACACAATATTTTTTACTACAAATCAATATGTGCAAGCAATTTTTATTACATTAATAAGTTTTCAAGTGGAGGAGGTTCAGAAACTGAGTTATTAGAGCTGCCAAGCCCTCAGCAGCAGTTTTCGCGCACTTTAGCACACAAACAGAAAGGAAATACAAAAAAATCGAAGCATCCATTAGGCAACACTTGAAATACCTAGTCGAGCTCGTGCCCTGCCACTCATGTGCATGCACACACATTTGTACAACACATATGCCATACAAACAAGTTGGTACATGCCAGCCTTTTAACCTCTTCACTTTGACTTTGACTTCTTCCAATCCAGCATCAATTTGTTAAAAAAAAAATATCTCTGAAAACACAATCAAAGAAATCTATATAAAAAGAATAAGTATTTTATTTATATCCGCCGGAGATATGTGTACATCCTGCGGATATATGTACATACATATGAACGTACACAGCTATAAATGGACATGTGCGCTCGTACTTGCCGCACGTACGTACGTATTCGTACTTACACACAAATATACAGATATGTACATACATATCTGCAGTGCTACTCAATGCACCACAGGCTGATTATATTCACGTGTCGTCGTGATATTCAATTCAATTGTTGCTTCCTGCTGGAATTTTTTAGCTAAAAGCGTTTTTCTTATGAAACCACTCGAACGTATTCATTCTTTCTAATTTTACAAAATTCGACCCGCCAGCCACCCAGCCAAGCTCTCACTGTAGAATCCATATGGAAAAAATTGCGTAGGCTATCACGTGTGTCTACCGCCCAGCAGGACATTACCGAACGCGCAAGATGAGTGAGTGCTTATAACTGTATTGCTTGAATACGTGGTGTGTGTTTGTGGGTAATATTTATTCGTAATGCCATTCATTAAATTTATTTTAATCCTTATTGACAAATTTAGATATTATCATTGCATTTTTTTCTTTTGCACCTAGTTAACTTTTAAATTTTCAGATATACAATAATACTATATATGTAGCATTTGGAAGAAAATTACAACCTCTAAATTATTGTAGCGGATAGTGAATAAACTTTGGCATTTCACAAAAGTCAAAAGTGGAATAAATTAAAATTGCTTACACTTTTAAAACGTATATATGTATATACACGTATATGTATGTATATAATATTATAGTACTCGACGACTATCGTGATGTGTTTCCAATAAATGATGAGACCTACTGCTTATTCTAGGCCGCCTCTGAACGACAAATGGATTTTTCTGTGCAGCTTTTTACTTCATGTCAGAACGCATTCGAGTAGGTTGAAAGTCCTCACCAAAATTAGAAAAAATGTGGATGTTGGTCTGGCAAGGATACGAACCCATGACTTTCCAAAGGCAGTACTGTTACTAATCACTGGGTCTCCGTAGCTGTCCTTTAAAAACCACAATATTGGACAGAGTTTATTAGGTTTTTATTCGCTTGGACAAATCCATAGAAATTGTGCACTCTAAAAAATATATTTTACCTAAGAGCCGGTTTATTTCATAGCACAGTATTAGTCGTTTTCCAGAGTCTTTAGCGATTACCCATGAAGCACGTAGTCGTACTTTAGACATTTCTGGACTCTTCCCTCTCATAATCTAGCCTAAAATGGTCTTTAACCCCCCCCCCCCCCCTCCTATTCCCGCCGATACGTCGTTTTAAGTCACATTCCCCCCCCCTTTATGGCTTTCAACTCCTCCCACCGGTTACGTTTAAACCAGCACACTTCTTGATCGAGATATCAATATTAACATTAGAAAATGTTCATTTATTCTTACTGGGTTTTGGCAGTCATGGTAACGTCGTTGGTAATATTATTTCTTAAATTCTTTCTATTTCAAATCTTCAGGCTTTTCGCTTTATTGACAATTGGGAAAAACTGAAGTAGATTCACATTTATGCAAAAAGTCACGTTGCAACAATTTGCCAAGAAAACAATTACCAGTTAATAATATTCCTTACTTTCGCATATGTGAATGCAAAGGACAAAATGAAGTCATCGTAGCACAATCCATGTACGCATAACATACACTCAAATTGGGTAACTAAAAGGTGATTTTTTGGCTATTATATTTTTGGCAGCACTGGTTTAAACAGCTGACGGACGTTTCGTGTTTTTACACCGTCAAACATCTTCAGTTTGGTCTATAATTTAACCATGAATCGTCTTATAAACAAACAACGCTTGCAAATATTGAATTTTATTATAGAATTAAAAAAATATGTTAAGAAAGTTCATCACACTTCTTTTGCGCGCGCTTCGAAGCTCAATTTTAGCTTAGAGGGTGCATAAATAAGCAGACTTGTCGAAGTGAAATTTAGTGAAAATTAGCCAGAAGCATTGCAAAAGCTACCAAAGCATCCAGATAATGTCACAGTTTGGTGCGGTTAATGGGCTGGTGGCATCATTGGATCATACTTCTTCAAAGATGATGTGAATCGTAACGTAACTGTGAATGGTGAGAGCTACCGTGAGATTAGTCATTGAGAAGCGAGCCCGTTGAATATTTTATTTCAGTTAAGCCGGCTAGATCGTGCGATTTAACGCCTTTAAATTATTTTTTGTGGGGCTAGGTTAAATCTAATGTCTATACAAACAAGCTCGCTTCAATTGACGCTTTGGATGACAACATTGAAGCATTTATTCTTGAGATACCGGCCGAAATGTTGGAAAGACTAAGCGGACTAAGCGGATGGACCATTTGAGGCGCAGTCACGGTCAACATTTGCATGAAATAATCTTCAAACACTAAATTATATGGACCGTACTATCGATTCACATAAAGATTTAATGCATTTTTCTGAATTTTATGGGTTTTTTTTTTTGAAAAACTTAGCTCTTAAAAAATCACCCTTTACATTATAAATTTTCAGATTTTTCAATTATTTTAGTTATATCCTAATCAAAATACGTCAAAACTGCCTCCTTGACTTTATCGCCGGTGATAAATTTTTCCTTAGTACGAGGAAGCATGTAATAATCCCTCCCGTTCAGGTCAGGTCAGGTATTGAAGCGTAGTATTCCTCAGTTGTAGAAACACCTTTATCTTAAAAAGCGATCAATAATACGCCTTCCGAGACCTGAAAGACCACTGTCTGTAACACCTCAAACTTTTTGGAAGGTGCTGCGTCCTTTCCAAGTCACTGCATAGTCATTATGGGCTTGTTTTGACCCAGGTTCATAATGATGAACCCTGGTTTCAACTCAACACACCATCCTTCTCCACATTACGCGTAAGTACTATACTCGCTATTGTCTCTACGGAGGCGTGAGCATTCTCGGCACCCAAGATGCTCGTGCAGGATTTTAGAAATGTTTGTACATATCGAATACTTCAACCATTTCTGCGATTTGGTTCTTCTTTAGTTAAACATTGTCGGGAAGTGAACAATTGTTTTCATCTTTTTGGATAAGTATTGGCGTGGTCACTTCGAAGTACCAAATACTCAAGTTTGCTGCTTTAAATAGAAAAATCGTGCTATAAGTGTTTTTATTTATATTTATTTTTTTATTTATTTATTTTTCGCTTCATGATTATTTGCCCTTTTCTCAACTTTTTTTATTGAGTCCTTCAAAGGAAAACTCTCGCATTCATTTAATGATTGTTTTCTTCAAGCGCTCATTTTAGTCATCAACTAATTTTTAGTCGCAACACGGAGCAGCATGCACTCGTCAACAGTTTTATGTAATTTGCAGTTAAACTTGCAATTAACTCATAAATAGTTTTTTAATTGCCTGAACAATAGGCAATGTTGCCACTCTTTACAAAAAGCAGCGCATTCAACTTGGCCTGATATCAGTCATGTATGCTACACATAATTACCGTCACGGCACATCTGAAATATAATATATTCATATTTACATTCATCTCTGCACACAGTATGTGGAAGCATCAATTGCCTCTGGCATCCTTCAAAATGTAAACATGCAATTAGAGCTCATGCAGCAGTGGAGGTGGGTTTAAATTTTAATTGCCAACAAAATATCAGCGCCACAAATACATGCAAACAAAATAGCGCCGTGAGTGCATAAGTTGCACTCATTTAAAAAATGCATATTTCCCTCTCACGTCCCGCCGTCATACGGATATATGAAATCCACAACAATCTAGCGACAAGCGTTGAATCCTCTTTTTGAATTCCTCGCTTCAAAGGCGATGCAACTGTGGCTTTGGTTTAGGTTATCTGCTGTGTGTTTGTTGGTGTTGTTAACAGTACTGCAAAGTGGTTGTACGTGACAAATTGCTTATGAACACGTTAACATTCTGAATTCGACAAATTAAATTATTGCCTCGAGCGTTTTGCATTTCTATGAATACACTTATATTGGTACCTGTGTATGTACATATGTACTATATGTTTTTACATATGTACATATGTAAATGCATTTCGTTTAAGTTTTTGTTCTATTTTTGTTTGACTTTTGCGTCAAAAGATTTGAGGTCTATTAAAAACAATGCAACGTTAATTAGCTGTGATTTGTGGTGAAAGCGATCACGTATACTTACATACATACATATGAGTTAAAGAAGTGGGATTAAAAAATAAAGACTACAGATAATCAGGATAATGAATTACTCACAAACACAAAGGTGATATTAATCCGAAATCACACTTTAGCATTTGCCCCGAGTTAAAGTATTATCGACGAACGTTTGAATACATGTTCATACGAGGGAGCGTTATAGCGTTGTACAAGTGGCAGAAGGGAATTCCTTGAGGATGTCCCAAGCCGAAGATGGGTACCAACGAATGATCAGGCCTTCGCAAAAACAACAGCCACGCTGGCCGCACTGCTTAAGGTGGGCTATGTTGAATCACCCACCATAAACCTGGCAAAGAGTGATTATAACCTATTTCCAAAAAAGAAAAAGGAGCTGAGGGATAAAAATTTTATCACCGATGATGAAGTCAAGGAGGCAGTTTCGGTGTATTTAAAAGGTAAAAAGAAACCATTTTTTGATAAGGATATAACTAAAGTAATCAAAAGATCTGAAAAGTGTATTCATGAAAAAAAATAATTTGTTGTGTTTCTCCCTCGAATATGCATACTGCTAGCTTGTGACAGCTCAATTATTCTAACGTTCTTTTGTAGCCATAGTATGTTTTATATTCTAGTAAGATCCAGGTAGAACATAAGAATAGAATTCAACTTATACTTTAAATTTCCAGCACTTCTCTTCGAATTTGTTTATCGAACATTTTGATTTATCTTCTCTTTTCTACCTGCGGAAAAAACTATTAACTCTTTTCCTATATTTTTCTTCATATTCTCCCAACCTTCGTAACTTACTTCGTTTGAAGGAATCGTGAACGGAGCTTGCAATCCATTGTTTATTCGTTGCTAGATTAAGGAGCATTGATTAATACGTTGAAACGCGATTACAGTAATAACTTTGCGATAAGGATGTCCCAAAAATGTAAGGACATTATCATTTTTAAATTTTAACATCTACGGAGGCATATTTTATAGATGACACATTAAAAAACGTTGATTTTTTTAAGGTAAGAAGTTGATTCACGCATAAGACACACACTGTTTCCCTTGCGGGAAAACTTTAAATATACATATGTATATGTATTACGAATAGAGAATTAAGTAAGGAAATTTGGGTGCAAAAGTCAAGTGGTTACAAGTCATTCAAAAGGTCAGGGTTCGAGTTCTTGTCCTCATAAGAATTTTTCGGCTGTTCGAAAATGGCTTAGAACAAATTGTTGGTCTCTTTATTTGTTGGAAAAACATCCAGACACATACCACAAATTGAAGAAGCACAATTACAAAGCGCCAAATATGTTAGAAAATTAGTCACTACGAGTCATAACCCTCGTGATAACTTAATAGTTGCAACCATATTAAAAGACTTTGCACAGAATCGCTCTGCATGTTAGGGGTTCAAGAATTTATCTGCGGTAAAGCATGACTGTCGTAAGAGGCGACTAAAATCCAATAGTTCCCGCGACGTCGGGCTTTTATACCGCAACAACCCGGCCAAGGACTGTCACTCCCGCAATATTCCCCAAAAAGTCTCTACTCTCTTACCACAAACTGCTGATAAGTGCCATATTTTCGAGAATACTTTTTTACGCAGTAGTTTAGATGTCATTAAAATCAGACCTGTAAAAACGAACTTTTCTAACGATTCATTAATTGAAAAAGGCGACGGCAGTTGGAGAGACACTAACAAGCCTATTCTGTCGAAGTGACAAAATTTACCTAGGTATTAAAATTTACCATTCAGTAAATTTTGTTACCATTTCGTATTCTGAGCTCACTGTTACCCTGTAAATTTTGTTACCAGCGAAATAGCAGGTAACAAAAATATCTGCTGTTTGATTTTGTGTTGTAAGTTTGAGAAAAAATAAAAAAAATCGAAATGGGTAGGCATATTTTAGGCCTGGAATTCATTGAAGATGAAGAAAAAAAGTGCAAAAATCCGTATTTTAGGAAGTTTTCGATACTAAAAATAGCACTTTAATTAGTAAGACAACGTTTTCATTTAGCTTTTTTTGTTGTCCAGGCATATTTTCCATAATGAGGTTCAAATATTTATGATTTAATAAAGAAATTAATAAAGCTTTTCAATTTTTTTTTCACCGTCTTCCATTTCGATGGGAATATTTTCCTTTTTACTTTATCAACTGGCAAATGTAATTTGACATGGACGAAAAAGCCGTGTTGCCAAGTTTTTTTCAAACATTGTAACCAGTTCCCCAGAATACCAAATTCAATTTCGGTTTTTTTAGAAAAGTAACAAAATTTACTTTACTGGTAACAGTGAGAATAGGCCTGTAAGGAGCTCAGCACTAACTTCACCTACCCTATAGGCATCAGTATAATATAATGAGAAACTGAAAAGCAGTACATTTCACACACTCTATAATAACTTATAACATTGTGAAAATTTGAGGCTCTCTCCTTACCACTGTCCGGCGGCGGTCGATTTATTAAATCTCCCAGTAAATCTCGTATTAAAAACGATTTAGCGTTTGGATGATGCATTTTTAATTGCGTTGTTCGCCTTTTTTCTTATATAGTTTTCTTTTTCTAATATTAGTTCAGTTTTTTCTCACTTATGTAACTTTAACCTAATTCTGCAGACTTGGTTTATGCGTCGATAGTATTTCTTTAATTATATATAAAATATTTAATTCACTGGAATTGCATTTTTGAAATATTTTTCAGAATATGTTATAAACATTTTTTCATTTGTTTCACTTTGATGGTCCTAAGTTATTCCGATTTTTAATGGGCTATATGTTAAATGTACTTTTATTTTTTTCGTTATCTTGCGGCGTCCTATTTTTACGAAAAAATTTCTTCAATAAGTCAGTAGTTAATTTTAAATTTAATAAAATGTGCTATTTAGCAAGTTTAATTTATTTTCTGCACCAACTTTCTAAATTGACTATGTAACCGTCGCAAAGGAAGTCAAATATCAACGGATTGTGACGTTTAATCCGTTTAACGGTTAAAACAGTAATGTCACGGACGCAGGATAACGCGAGTGTAAATATGATAAATAACTGCGGATTTGTTGAAATGAATTAATGCAAATTGGCGGTTATGAGAGAGTAAATGTTTAAAAAACAGAGAAAAGAGCTTTTGATATGTGAGTAGAGCGGACCCTTTCCTCACCGCAGCGCCACACTTTACCGTTAGCAATAACACATGCTAACAAGCCCCTCTCTCTGCTACTACACTCAGCGATTGCATTCATCCTGTCCCATATACAATGACAACTGCCGTCTGCTCTTCACAAATACATCAATAAAACGTGCGCTCTCACCCGCGTGCAGCTTGTTAACACTACCCCACCCACACACATTTCGCAATTATTCAAATGTTGGCCATTTTGTTTCTACAAAAATATCGTTTTTGTACTGCTATTGCCGACTCTCTTACACTTTCACTCCGCCAAGTGCTCGCCTCACACTCGTTCTCTCTCTCTCTCTCTCTCTCTCTTTCGCACATTTACTCTTGGACTTCCATCTCTCTCTCTCTCTCTCTCTCTCTTTTGTAGGACATTACATTTTCTCTATGCTGATTGGTCACACATTTAGCAACCCCTGAGCGTTTTGTAAATTTCTAAATGTTACTACACACATATATATATATGCACCGGAAGATATATGTACATAGTATATGTATCTTTATGCACCCAAATTTTTTATTAGTCTTGGGAGTGTGGGTGCGTTTAGCATAATATGTTTTAACCTTTTAGGCAAATCTCATCGAGATTTACTTCACCAACATACATACATATATTATATTTCCGTTGTCGTTTTCGTGATTTGTTATGTTTGGCTGTGAAGGGCTAAAGCACGCCGCTTAATTAAGCTTGAAATTTGAGTGGAGAGCAACAGTTGAAAACCTTTGGTTTTTTATTTTGCCGGTTAAAAATATAATTTCCATTGCATATGAAGCCTAAAGTGATCTTATTACATTGCAAAATTAATGGATTTGCAACACCGTCCCCAAAGAAGTTGTCGAGGCCAAAATATATGTACATATGTACATTTTCACAAAGTTTTCAATCTCTTTTTATCCCATTCAAATATATTTTTCCTCGAATATCAAATGTAAGCACTTAAAGTTTTCTGGAGTTTTGTATTTTAAAACATTCATTAGCATCTAATTTATGTAGAATGCATGCACTATTTCACAATTAAAATTTCAATACAATATCATTTTATAGCTTAACACTTAAATTCTATTTTTTTCACAGGCACACAAGCTTTAATAAGTTTAAAATTATTCCCTGGTTATACAGCTTGGACAATCTGCGAACAATCTGCTTAGTTTATAAATACTTAAAAGCAGCCATTGCGGCGCCAATAAGATGTAATGAACCAGTAACTAAGACATCCACCGGTTCTTCAGTACCATATGTGGCACGTACATCCTTCAAGCAATCAAGAACCGAACCAACAGTTTTCGAGCTATCCTCCTCGTCCGACTCAATACACAGCTGATACCAAATACTTGCATGGAGGCGCGCACGTTTCAGTTGTTCGGTAATGCCAAACACCGACATATTATCGTTGTGGTTTGCTGCACCGGAAGATATATTAGGTACGAAGAAAGCTCTGTCAAAGTCAATCGTGCTGTAAAGGATTTCAAGTAACCGTCGTGAATCACGTTCGCCGGTGGTATTGAAGATGAGCACGCGTGGGTTTGTTCTTAAGAACAGAAAGACAAAAGAATTGTAAGTTTGAATACTAAACACATATCTAACGAACTTTCGGCTAACCTCTTGGAAGTTACACGCTTAAACCAGTCACTACAGACACGCATACTCTCCACAGTGTGTGCGCCATCAATGTGAAAACTGAATACAAATAAAAGAAAATAATATATTAGTGAACTACTGTTTGACTAATCTTTCCAATAATATACACACTTCAATTTATCAATGCCCAACACTTGGCAACGTCCCGGCCAATTGCACTGTTGCAGACCCACCAACACTTCGTTTGTTAGCTTCGTTGACTCCATACCTTTGTACTGAGTATAACCATTTTTACGCAACCAGTCATAGGCTAATTGTATAGCCAAAGATCCATTCAATCTTATGACTTCATTAAGATTATAGAGTAAATCCTCATGTTCAGGTGCGCCGCAGTATTTCTGATAATCGGGCACAATGTGGAGAGTGGCCTGTGGGAGGAAGTATTTAAAATTATAAAAAATTGAAGCTTTTCACTCCAGTAGGTGTCGTTAGACTCACACTTAGTTCTGCGGCTCGCTTTCTGATCACATCGAGACATTCCTGTTGTGAAACGTATGTGTAAACATCTGAACTCTTCTTAATAATACCAGATTTTTGCCAAGCAATTTCACTTAGTGTATCACCCAGTAAATGCGTGTGTTCCAAGCCCAATGAGGTAATGCCAACAGTTTGTGTATTTCTTCAATTAGAAAAATATATAAGAGCATTTGGAATATAATATTATTTTTATATTTTATTTGTGAAACTAAAATATAAATTCGATTATGAAAAGAGGTGGTAATTTTGCACATTCAGGTCATTTTTACAGTATACATATGTAATTCAGAAGTGGAATATAAATTTTTAAAGCTAAGAAATGCTAAAAGAAGCTGATTGTGATCATCCAAAACGAAAATGGAGTTTAATGTTAATTCATTAAATTGTACGTTTTACAGATCAATATTAATATGAATTTATGATTTCAGACTTTATCCCTATATTCAAAGTGCCTCGAGAACAGAGTTTGATTGTACATTTTTGCATCTCACTGTACTTGGACTTTTATTTTTTTTTTAACTTATACATTTGTATTTCAAGCTCATCCATGTAATTAAATTTTTTTTTTATACTTTCAATTTACCTTATCACATTGGTGCAATCCAATTCCCCGCCAATACCAACTTCCAAAATGATAACCTCCACTTTTTCTTCGAGGAACAAGTGAAAACTTAATATTGTTAGGAACTTAAAGTACGCCGGCATATCACCCTCATATTGTTGTTGTTTATGCAGTCGACTATAGACACGTCTAAAGGTACGTACGAATTTCTGTTTCGATATCGGCTGACCGTCAAGACGCAGTCTTTCCGTTACTGATAATAGATGAGGCGAGCTGTAGAAACCCGTTCTGACGCCATGTGCACGAAGTATGGATTCTGTTAAGGCACAAGTGGAGCCCTATAAGAAAATGCAATAATAAGCAAATAATTAGTACTAAAGAGTAGGTTTAATGATAATACTATATAAATATTCTACGCTCGTCATGGTTATCATGGGGTTGAGTTTTGACTGCCAAGTGTATTTGTGATATCAAAGACTATAAGGAGATGTCATAAAGGTACTGTAGATGTCATTATATGTAGAAAGCCATCAAAGCTCTGCTCAAAGATGTTTAGCATAAATAAAGTAAATAAATTTATAAACTGGCTTGTGGCGGTAAAATCGATAGGGTTATCAAGTTCAAGTGGATCATACAGTTATCAGTAAACTGTGCATGAGAGTGCGTAAAATATTTGAATACATACATATGTACAGAAATTAGCTAAAAGCAAATTTTATTTGCTTAATTTAAATGATTTAAATTTTTTTTTTAATATATCAGAGTTTTCAAGAGGAGTATGACTAAACTAACTTGTGTTCATCGTATTGCATATATACATATGTCTATGCCTACATTAATCTTGTTTATTTTTAAAATGTCGGTCAGATTAACTTCGAACTAACGATCCCAATCGATTATCGATAACAAGGTATGGGTTTAGGTAACCTCCAACAACTCTGCTATCGGGACTATACGAAAAGTGACATCGAAAAGTATACTACAAGCAAAATAATGCCAACAAAACTAAATTTAAATCGTTTAATCGAGTAAACATTCGCTCAAACTAAGCCGTTAGTCGAAAAAATAATCGGTTGTAAAACAAATCGCGCCACCACTAAGCTGAAGACTAAACACTAGAAATATGATAGTGTTGCTTCGTGTGCTCGACATTTTTTATGACTTTTAATATGAGATTTGTTTAAATTGTGCAACAACGCCTATTTTTAAAACTACACGCCGTTGATTGTTTACAAAAATCTTAAAGGAAAAAAATACTTGTCGGACATTTGTTTATACCATAAACCCAATGATAATTAGAACGTGTAGCTTAACGCTCTCTACACTCTTGCAGTCAAAGTATAACTATAAACACTTTATATACATAAGTAGATATGGTGGGCATTAGTTTGGATACTCGTGTTGATAATGCAAAATTTCAAAAATTGCGTTGATAAAAAGTAAATACTTCATTGATAGCAGTACATTTATTTTTATCTGTTATATTATCAACTATCTAGACTATCTTGTGTTTTTTGATAGATGCACTTATAATAAGTGGTAGGAATATATTCATGTATGTACGTATCAATTTTTCTGGTTGTCACAATCAATATTTTCTCAATTTCAGTTTCTACTGCCATTTTTTCTGTCATTAGTCGCTTTCCTAAAATATTGCATGGCAAGCACTCTATGTAAGCGCAGTATAATTAGTATTATATTATTTATCCACTGATATAAAAAAAAAATATGTATGTGTTTTCAGTGCTAAAATTTCAAAATTCAAACCAAAAACTAAACTACCCTTTACTTCTGAGCTAAACCTCTTCATAGGAGATGATCAGACAAAACAGATTATCTGAACCATCTTCTCTGCCATCGTCCGGTTTCTTGCAGGGTAACAACTTTAATATATTCATACAAACAAGTATGTATGCATTTAGCATGTATTACTTTGTTTTCCCTCCAACTTACTTACCTTGCCTTTGCTACCGGACACATGTATGAAAGGTATATTTTCCAATTCATCCAAACTAAGGCCACTTCGCTCCATATATTTGTGCATATCACTTAATGGCAATTGTTTATTATTAAGTAAAATTGAACGCCTTATTGTGGTCGCATTTGATTGCAGCTTATTAAGATCGCTCACACATTCCTAATGAGCAAATAAACATAAAAAAAGCATATCAACACCAACAAAAAAAAATTGTAAACAGCTGGATGAACAAGTTAGCCGATTCGCATTCGCCCATAATTTACGCGTACGCAGCACGTGTAAAAAGCCTGTAAGCATGTATTCATTAATGTTGCGCACGCATGTAAATTACTTAAAATGACTTTGATACTATAGCTTGCATAGCCAGACACGAATTGGCTTAACATATTTGCAAGGAAAGAAACGCATGTGTGAGTCGATGCATCTTATTACCCTGTCACTTTGTCTCACCTCATATTGTTGGTCAACACTTAGCTCTGCTTGCTTCTGTTGCTGCTTCTGTGCTGCAAAGGTGCATGTTGTTGATGGTGTTGTTATACTCTGGGAAATCGTTGCTAGTTTTTCAGTGCTCAACATGTTGGTGTTATTAGTAGCACGCTGCGGTAATAGGAAAGATCGCTTAGAACGCGTAAAATAAGTTCGTTGCTCAAGAACCAACAAGCGACTGAATAACGCTCGCCGGGCCATTTTATGTGAGCGCAAACTGGAAATACATATGTATATATAATATTAAATTTTACATTATGTAGGTACAAAACAAACGCAAGTAAAAAAACATATATATGCAAAAATGTTAGTTTCGAGAGAGATAAAAAAAATAAAAAAAACAAATGAAAAAGTTTGCAAAATCATCAGCATATTAATAGGTGACTATCATACAAGTGTCCCTTTACGCGGCTCAAGTGCTTGAAAACAATTTTTGCCGATAAGCGAACTGTAATTAAATTCAACTCTTGAAGTGGCTAAATAGTCACAAAATTTTATATCGATAGCGGTGTCAAAAATCTGACTATGATAATTACTCATGTGTATATGTCTAAAGATCAATGAAAATCGGATAGCCAAAACTAGTTTTATGTGAACAGGTCGGTTGTCCCGCAGAAACCAGCGTCAGCGTCAGAAGTGTGCAAACGCACTGACAGCTGGTAACATTTCGCCGCTCTCAGCTACGTGATCAATTGTGTATGTATCTCGCTCTTGACGTCGCCTGTTATGGGCGGATGATAAGTAAAATGGGTAGTTGAAACGTAAGAGAAATGGTGGAAAAGCTGAACACACGTCGTATATTACAAATGCATAAATATACCTACGTATGTACACACACAATGCGTAATTGAATTGTAAGTACTTCTTGCCATCTTCAGACGGTATTTTAAATAATTATGGGAATTATTAAACTATATTTTTGTTATTCCGACTAAAATGAGATAGTATGTCATGGCTTATCTTGACGTAGAGCGGTTTTGATTAGAATATATGTAGTATTTTATTTTATTAATAGTCTCAATTTCCAAACACCTGTATGTGTGTGTGCATAAGGTCGATTATTTCAATATTATTGATAAGAGAAATGGGAACATATGAATATTATGCATTTTTGGTCCTGCTAACAGCTTTCACATTTAACCACGCCTAAATCGCCACGCACCGAAATCTTTTTTCGGACGTAGGTATGTTATTGACTACACCAAGAATAAACGTTTCCGACGTTATCAAATATATTCAAATATTTTGTAGCTTCATTTCCAAATCCAAATACTAAGTGTTTATATTATTTGTAGCTGGGTTAATTTATTTAGTCGTTTTCTCCTGGGTGAAACATACTAGCTCTGTTCGGTGCGAAAATACAATAGCCCTGTGGCAGTGGCTATGACAAAAAAAAAATTTTCTTGATTATTTCAAAATAATATATTGCCCTCTCATTAACGTTGTCCGTTATTTTATAAATAATAATACGACGGCAATCGTGTCAACTTTCATTTGCAATTTTTTCAAACAAACGATTTGGTAACACATTGTACAAACTCGTGCTATTAGTCTGAGCGAACAAGGCTTTATTCTATTTGACAGCACACGTGTTGGTTTGACACTTCCATAAAAAACCCAAATTCAAGTAAACAATTTGTATGGAAATTAATAAAAATGTGAAAATGAAGATAACGAAGAATAAATATATGTTACAAATTGTGATTTAAGGTGCACTAGCGATTTACTTTCTAAATATTATACAAAACATAGCCGCAAAACGGAGTCTCACTACAAGCTGTTATCAGCTGCCCAAAGTAAACGCGCTACGGCAAGATAGCACAGATTCATCTTCTGAAGATCTTTGTTATTAATTATCTTTTATAATGCTTTTAATTTTTTTACGTACTTTTTTTTTGATTGTTATTAAATGAAGCACGCTTAACGATTTTCTACTATTGAATTTGTCAAATAACTTATGACAACATAGAGATTGTCACGTACAGCTGTTTTTAATGTTATATTTCACAGCAAATTGATAAACAAACAGAATAGAGGAATAAGTGCGCGGACTTTCAAAAACAACTTTGGAATAAGTAATACACTAAATATAATATGAAACGTTTACACGAAACCGCGATTGCTCAGGAGCTACCGTCAACGAGTGATACTGATAAGGGAAAGCGTGCTAAGAAAACTGTATCCGTCCCATCAGAAGAAGATGGTTGTGAAGAAGATGATCACAGGCATAGTGATAATGAAACTTTAGGCAGCAGGTATGAGAGTTTGTTTTTACAAAAACAATGTAGAATGTAAAATATGAATTTTGATAAGAGACTCTTTGAATTTAAGCGCTTACGCTGTGTGCTGAAATGAAATATATATGTTTTTTTTTATTAATCCAGTCATAACACGCCACGCCTTGGCAAATGCGAAGTATGCGCCGCCAACAATGCTCGCTATTGCTGTCCAAAATGTGAGGTAAAGACTTGTTGCTTACGATGTGTGCAAATACATAAAAAAGAGCTTGACTGTGACGGCATTCGCGATCGCACTAAATTTATACCCCTGCGTAAAATGACGAAAATGGATTTTATGAACGATTATTACTTCCTGGAGGAGTGTACACGTTTTGTGGATGATCGCAGAAAAGATAAAATTAAACGTTTTACACGTTACAATAAAACCTTACCAACTCATTTATTTCGTTTACGTGGTGCTGCAGCTGATCGGGGCACGGTACTTCGTTTTTTACTGCCAAATTTTACTCGCCACAAAACCAATACAACTTTTTACGACTGGAAATTAAGAAAAATTTTATGGCGTTTAGAATGGGTATTTGTCAACGTGGGCTCAATGCAATATGTGGACGAGCGGTGCGATGAGGATTTAACCTTGGCTCAATTGCTGGATAAATATGTGAATACAAAAAATACTGAGATTATTCCACAAAAGAAGTCTTTGCAATACTATCAAAGTGCCGGCCTTAGTCAATTGAAGGTGAGCAGTTAAAAAATTGTTATTTGTTGTGATAATTTTTTTTTTGTCTAATTGAAACAGTTGCTTCTAAAAGCGGAGGGTATCAAATGTTCAAGTACACGTTATTACGCCTTAGATGTGCATAAAACATTGAGAGCAAATTTAGCAGGCAAAACTTTGGTAGAGTTTCCTTGCATTTTCGTTAGCTACGAAGAGCATCCTGCTGGTTGTGACATCATAGACAGCGGTGAGATTTGACAATTAAGACCTAACTAAAATATTGAATTTTTAATCAATGCCTACCGTTTTTTCTACAGATGAAGACGTTGAAGAAGAAACCAGAAGACATGAAGCCAAAATAGAGGTATTACACAACCAACGTTTGGCTGAATATTCATCAAAAAAAGGATATGTTGCCTCAGGTGAAGGACAAGCGACACACGAGGCAGAAAAAAAAGCAAAAGTTTTAGCAGACAGACGAAATGAAGCTCGTGGGCGTAAGCGTGAAGAGTTCGAGAAATCGCCCAGTAACTTCCTTTTTACAGACGAGCAGTTGTGGGAAATGCTGTCTTCATCATCCTCAGGTGATGACACGGAAGAAGAAACGACAAAAAGCTAACAATAACATGTAAAATAATTAAAGAACAAAATTTTAAAAACAAATCTAATAATTAAGTTAATTATTTTTACATATGCTTTATTACATTGTCCAAAAAACAAATATCTTAAAGAAAATGTCATGCAGCCATCGTCTAAAAAATAGCTAGCCCATGCATATCCCAATCTTTACTGCGCTTGCATACAATTTTTTGTTAAATTTGTATGTGGTTAGATATCATTCCTCGTATTATTATTTCATAAATATTTAACAATTATTACAAAACCCAAAAGTATAAAACAAATACTAATATAGCAACCCCGGCAGCGCCTAGTTTCAAATACATCGATTTTCGATTTAAATATGTCGCATCCTTCTTGTACTTCTGAGACATCATTGACAAGTTTTGCGTTTTGGTATCCAATTCTAAAAAGAGTAAAATGATTTTATTTAAGCAAATATCCAATAGGAGAATTAACGAAAACACACTAACCTGACAGCACAGTGCCTCGCTGTAGGACATCATCGATATTTTGTACCTACGGATTAACAAGGATTTTTTAAAAAAGATCTTAATTCAGCAGTTACTCTGTTACCATAATTCGCTGTACATCCTGTAATTGGGTATTGATTGCATTTATATTACGTCTCCTATCGGTTAATTGTTTTTTGGCTTTCTGTATGTAAACATCGAATTCGATAAATGCATAGGGTCGAGTTACAGAATTGACACGCCGGCCATAATTTGCATGAAATTCTTGCGCTAGATCTTCCAAATAATTGAATGCTAAACGCTTAGAGTACATTTTATCACACATCACCAAATAACACACTTCATTTTCTATGAGATAACTGAAAAAAGTAGTTAAAAATATTGTTATTTGATCGTTGTACTTTGCACTCTTTTTACTGAACAAAACTTACTGGAATAGATATGGTCCTGTTTCAATGCTGCAGCGTGATGGTGAATGTGAACCTAATTTTCTAAATAGCATTTTTGCTTGGTTCTGATACTCCAGTATGCTGCGCCCGGACTATATACGTGGTGAAGATAAATTGAAATTTCATAGGAATTTATGTTTTATACAAGTATAATTTAATTGACATTAATTGACCCTTATATTATTATGCCAATTTGTTAGTAAGTAGATACCTGTTCATCCTCTTGCATGGTGCCAACTAATGGAAGCCCATCGATGACACGCGCAATCATAGTTAATAGTGCCATTTCTTCCTTTTTCTACTTTTTGCCTGGTTTTCAATATCTACTATTGCTATTAAGCTCCCTCGGAATTTGTTACTCTGCTGCAAATTGCATACACTACACTCATTACAACCGTTTGTTTGTTGTGTTATCCTTCTCTACTTCTCTATTTTTTGTAGACTCCTACTTGTTCTATTCAGTTGCAATGTAAAAAATTAACAAAAAAAAGGGTAACAAAACAAGTAACGTATTTGTATCGTTGCAAGTTGATGAAATTTACAAGTTTATGGGGCAATCGGAACACGTCAGCTAAATGTCAAACTGGATGGTCCAATTGGTTTGTTGTAGTTGGGTTGCTGCTTTTTTTTGTGTCTATTGAAAAAGGCTACTTTGCGCAAATATATATCAGTAAAAAATTTGTTTCCTTGAAAAATTTTAATCTTTTTTCCATTTTACATAATCGGATATCAAATTTTAATTTAAACCAAGCAAAATTCATTAGAATTAAGCAAAATTCATTTAAATTAAGCAAAATTTTAACAAATTCGACTTTTTTCTATAAATTTATTGTCACCCTGTTTTGAAAAAGTCAAAAGCAGGTGAGAAATGTCAGTTAGTGTACAAGCAAGTTTGAGTTGGCAAAGAAATTTTTACCTTCTAATTTACGAAATTTTCGCTTAGTGAAAATATTGCAAATTCCACGTAAACTTGCCAAGCGAAAGAAAATTAAGTGCAAACGATAACGACTAACAGTTCTAACATGCATTTAAAATTATGAATTTAATTATTTGCGAAAAGACGAAAGCGAATGCAAAAGCAATTAATTAAAATATTAAAACACATAGACGTAAGTAGAAAGAAAATACATATATGGATTAAAATTTTCATTTGACTTCATTGCATATGAGTATGTAGATATGTATGTAAAAGTCTCGTATGTAACCTAGAATTGGTTCTGGTGTTTTGTCCTTATGTTCGGGGGGCAAACATATTCTCTTTGGTAAACATAATCCTTAACCTAATATCTGGGCAATTAAAATTGTGCTATATACATTTTTTTGTTTACTTTTAAGTTTTATTATATAATTTTTGTTATTGTCAGTTGATTTCCATAATTTTTGTAAGCAATATGTAGGTGACTTTCCTAAGTTAAAATAATGCAACCCTGTATATTTTGATTTCTAACTTTTTAGCTGTCAACACGTTTTGCTTCGTTATTGACATTTCGTTTCTTTTTTTTCTGAGTTATACATTCATGTTCATTGTGGTATATATTTCTCTGTAAAATTTTTTAACTTTACGAAAATCATATGTAAATTTGCATCGATTAGTATTGAAAAAATTTAAAACACCGCTGTAAAGTGTGCTAATAATTTTAAATAGCTAAAAAAGCTTTAAGTTGAAATTATTGTTTGGTGTAAGACATTAAGAGGTAATAACTTCATGGTATCGGTAGGTAGTGAAACTATGAAAACTTCCACGTAAACTTTTTCGTTTAAGCCTGTATCCCTCACCATCAACCGCACAAATGTACTAAATATAGGAGTAGAGCGAAATGAAAACAAGAAAATACACAACTGAACTAACAATTTGCTTTTTCCTTTAATATTTTTTTATATGTGGTCCCTAGAATTAAAGAGACCAGATTTGCTGCATATTAATATGTGATATGCAAATCTGCATATATTTAACCATATTTAAGAGGTGCGTCAGGTGTGCTTTTAGTAAGTTTGCTGGTGGTGGAGCATACAACACGATAAGAAAAAATGTATGGATATAGTTGAAGATTTCTGCCTTTTATATACATACTACATATTAATGTACTAATGTCGATTGATTTGGTGTGTTTTATTTAAAACATGAAATTTGGACCCAAAGAAAAATTATGTTGTTAAACATATTTATAAAATTACACTTATTATTATATTATTGAATAATTTATTTATCCATTTAAAAGTTTTTGTTTTCACTTTTTGTACAATTAAAAAGTCATTCACCTTTTGTACATATGTGCATATATACATATTTATATACGCTCGATATGTATGTACCTACTTACGTGTACGTCTGTTATCATTAAGCATGTATGCAAATTTCTCCATTGTCATCATTGCTTATTGAATCATCATAAATCAATATAATTTCATACATATTTTTCATAGCACAGCTTCAATTTTGGTTAGTAAATTGTGAAAAATGTCTTGGGTGCAAAATAATGCACCACCGCCCACGCTGCCACACCAACAGCAGAAGATTCAAGCTCCATCGGTCGCTCCACATCAAGAGCAACAGCCACTTAATATGCCACAGCACCAACAACAACAACTTTTAGCTACACATCCATCTCTTGCACAAGTTAAAACTGCTGCTGTTAGTAATGCTAACGCTAGCCCGTCACCGCAAACCCTACCACCCCTTGCTATGGCCTCCATCAATTCCTCGACAAGTGGCGCTTATTTGACAAAACCGGGCTCCACCAATAATAATGTTTATCAACCTCAACAGCATAACTCTGTACGTTCGCAAATGGAGACCAATGGTGCTACAACAAACCAGCAACAGCAACAGCCGGGCCACTACGTCTTGCCACAGGTAACTTGATTTTCATTAACTGGGTCGCTCACCTTTTAGGCTTATATTTACATACGTGCATACACATCCATATACAGGTGCTATGGATCTAGACAATATTTTAGGTTTTTTGACATTTTATTTACCGGACATTTATTTTAATATTGTAAATATGTACATTTTTATTTTCTACCTTTTGTAATTTTTACCTACTCTTTTATTTGGAAATCTCTTTTAAAACAAAGTGTGTTCAAATATTCTAGTTCACGACCTCATTATCATTTGCAATGTGTTGCATTGCGAATATATGTACATAAGGAAAAGAGAAATATTTTTAAGTATATAATATATAATATGAGCAGGTACATACGTACATAGGTATATATGTATGAACAATGCATGTACGAGAATGTTCCAAGTGCTATAAAAAAGTGTATTTGCAATTATTTCTTTCCAGTCCAGGTGTTTGGCCATATTTTTTAAATTAAAATAAAAACGGTTTAAAATATTTACATACATCTATATTAAGTCCCCATATTTTTATTGAAAATTAAGTGACGGCTTATCTGTTTTAAACATATTATGAATTGAAATTACAATTTCACTTTTTTTTAAGGGTTTGACTTATTTTAACTATGAGAAAAATTTAAAAAGTACGATTAATTTCAAAAGGGAAAGCAAAAAATATTGGCAATAAAGTTTTAGTTTGTTAAATTTTTAGCGTGAAAGCTTAGAACCTCGTTTTAAAATCTAACATTCAACTTTCCGATTTCAGCAGCCACAACAGCCACCAGCAGCAAGTAACAGTTGGCCGCAACAAGCTTACTTACAAACAAATCAAATGATGCAAGCCAATGCAGCCGCTGCCAACAATAATTGGCAACAGCAACAACAACAACAACCACCACAGCATGTCAACAATTTATATGCATCGCAACAAAAACATACGAATGCAACGCATAATATCTGGCAGCCACCAGAATTACAAACAACGCCATCAATAAATAATGTGCCAACTCAGCAACTTCAACAACAATCACATCAACAGCAACAACAGGCATATCCCCATTCAACAACATTTGACAATTATTTCACTGCTAACCAAACCACAGCAACTCTGCAGCAACAACAACAATCACCACCACCGCAGGTGACGCAACAAACACTGTATCCACATCCGCCGCTGCCGTCGTCGCAGCAGCGAACCGCCACTGACACCGCTAACTACTTTCAATATCAAAAACAACCATCGCACCAGCAAACACAATCAACAACAGCTGATCTCTTCGAAAACAACATTAATGCGAACAAAGGCGACGGCTGGGGGGACTGGGATTGGAATGATAATGGCAATGTGATTGGCAGTGAGGTGGAACATGCTCCGAATATGGCAAAACAACCGCCACACCCAGCACAATTACCCATACAGAAGCCGCCGGTGCAACAACTGCAAAATGCATTTGAATCGCACGCAACGAATTACGCTGCTTCCACTGCAAATGTCATTGAAGACAGTTTCGCCACCCAGGCGACCGATAACTGGAATTGGAATCTTGGTGACGATGATAATGCAAATGTGAATGTGAGTGAGAATAGTGTGGTAGCCGTCGATAAACAGCTAACTACAATAATACCAGCAGCAACACTACCACCTCAAGTGCCAACAACAGTATCTAATCGTCAAGCTGCAACACAAGTGCCGCGGCAAGTCGCAAATAGCGTGCAAGTGCCTCAACAGAAAGCAGCTGAATTTGCTGTAACCGATGCAGAGGGCTTGAAGGCAGCAGCAGCAGCAAATATAGGTGTGTATTACAAATTATGGAAGCAAATAGCGTTAAATGCAAACTTGTATTTGTCTGGTTTTCTTATTTTTTCAAATACATATTTAAATTCAAAAATCTACATACATGTGTAAATGTCATCGAAAAATTTACTTGCAAATTTGCATTACTAAAAAATATTTAAATTTTTACTCTCCCCCTTTCTTTATTACAGCCAAACCCTCTTCATTGCCGCTCTCCGAAGTGACCAATGAAAACTATAACACCAGTGCCACTCCACTTAGCAGCGGTGGGATAGCCAACAGCAGCAACATTCCAAACTCCGTTTATGTGTCACAAGCCAAACCAGTTTCACGGCCATCCCGTCAGTACGCCTCACCACCTGGCGTTGCTAGTCCTACTAGTGAACCGTTGGATAATGCCCTGACACCACCACAGGCGTTTCAGAATGAAACTACAACATCACAACAACAACCCGATGTTGCGGCGTCGTCAGTGACTTCTACTGCTGCGGTAAATGCCCCACCACCTGCAATGCCACCATCTGGCGTTGGCGTTGCCGCAGCAGCCAACCCCTTTAAACGCGCAGGTGCCGCGCAACATCATCGCTCTACTGGTTTGATGACAACGATCAACAACGCTAATTTCCCAACGCCACCTGCACCCCCTACACCCCAACAATTCTCCGCTACCGCAGTAGCTACTGCTTTTGCGGTACCTCCACCGCCCGCAGATTTCGCTAATCCACTTAACAATCACTTGGAACCAGATAATTCAGAGATCTTACATGAAAATCAGGAAGTATTGGGCATGCCTCTTGGCCATAACACGCAGCCAATTTCGTTGCCAGGTGCAGAGGCACATGCACCTTTACCACCACCGCCTAATGATGAGCGAAATCAGTACTTGCAAACCAGCCCACTATCAGAGAATCCCGATGAGGAATTGAATTTGGAGACAGATAGTCTGCCACCACCAGGTTTATCACGTCTTGTGTTGGGCCAACCGGAGTTGCTGGAGGCCACACAGCGTACGGTAACTGGCACCGAGGAACCAGCCAATATGCACTTGGATGAGCGGTTAGCTGATGGTGAGGATACTTCCTTAGAGCTGGTACAGACAGTACCTCTGATGAATGCCTTGCAACGCAGCAGTAGTTCGGGTGGTAAGCACAATACTAAATTTCCAGTAGAACATGAGAATAAAAAAAAAATTATTTTATATTTCCACAGCCGGTAGCTCTTCCTCCGGCAATAACAGTAACACTATTGATATTACCACTGACCGTAATTTGTATTTAGTGCCCGGCGAAAGTAACGTTAGCAATGAGCCGCGCGTAGTTACTGGAGTCGAACGCTCGCCTGCGAGCAATGCTCCAGCATCGCCGCCACAAACTGCCAGTGGCCAACGCGAAATAGAATTGGACGGCGAAAATATAGAAGATCAACAACAAGAGCAGCACCACACGGCGCCGCTGCTAACCGTGAACAGCCGTGATGAGCCGCCTTTAGAGGGCGCAGCGGCTAGTGTGGAGCCACAACCTCTATCAACCGACGACAACCAGGATGCGCATCACCAACACCCCCTCCATCATCATCACCAAGCACAGACACAACACTATCATCATCAACACCAACAGCAGTCGTCAAAATCGAATGCTTCTACGGGAAATGATGAGAGTGATCCAATGCCAGCTCATCAGCGTCAACACCACCACTCTACACGTTACACAGGTGCCGGCAATAATAAGTCGCGCAAACATTCGACTGATGAATTGGAACGCAATATTAGTGAACGACCTCAGCAGCAGGTACGTCGTGATAAACAACGTAGTTCTGTCGATCGTTACGAAAGTGATCTCGACGAATCCGAACCTTACTCTAGCGATCGTGAGCGTGAACGTGAACGTCGACGCGCCTATAGGGAGGGGAGCGTACGAAGTGATCGTGATCGTGAAGAGCGCGAATATGCTAAGGAAAAACGTCGCCGCGCTGGTGAGCGAGCAGAAAAGCGAGATGAACGCAGCGCCGGCGAACGTGAGAAAGTACGCGACAAGTATTATGCACGTGATAGTGGTAAAAGCGATACTCAACGTCGCAGTGATGGGCGGCATAAACGACAGTACGAAGAGGACATTGACGACCTAAGTACACGCCGCAAAGAGCAGACACGCCGCAGTGGCGGACGCCATCATCATAGCGATGAGCGTGGTGGAGCGGGGCGCAGTGATCGCAGTGAACGCGAATATGATGACTACAATCGACGTCACCGAGGCTCAACAAAACGTGGCGAAAAGATCAATGATGATCCGCGCGATATACGACGTAGTACATATGTGGACGATGAGCGTCGAGAGCAGCGGCGAACTCGGCGCGAGCGTGGCAGTGATTATGACACACTGGAGCGCCGCCATCGTGGCACTGGAGGGGATAAATTGTCCCGTGGTGAACGCGATCGGGGTGATCCCCGCGAATATGATGAGTATCGCAAACAAAGTTCGCGCAACGCACGCGAAAGTGATTTAGAGAAGGAGCGCGCACGCTATGATCCACGCAATGCTGCTGCGGTCTCTATGTATGGATATCCTCCATACAACTATGATCCCTACGCCAGCTATTACTACGAACAAATGGCGCGCACCAACCCTCAAGCGTACGCAGAGTGGTACAAGAAATATTACAGTCACGCCACGGCAGCGGCACATCAGGGAATCAGCGCACACGCCGCATCGGCAGCGACGGCGGCTGGCGGTGATCATGGTAGTTTGAATAGCAGTTCTTTGGCAGCAGCTACTGCAGATGGGCGTGAATCAGTGCACTCGGGTCGCAGTTCGGTGCAAAATGACAAGGAGCGGTAAGTTGGCAGATTTCATGTTTATTACTTTTTCCTTAAATTTATTTGCATAATTTTTGTTTCTAACGGCTTGCTCTGCATCGCTTACAAAACAGAAATTCAGAGTTTACCGGCTAGTTTAAATTTGGTTTATATTACACTTTGTTTTTATTTATTTATTTATTTTTTAGTTCTTAACGCTTAGTTTGTATTTGTGTTTCAAGTTTGTGCTGAGCTTAAAAGTATTTGTATATTTAATTGTTATGCTTTTGTTTGAATATGTAAATACGTAGCTCTAATTCATGTACGAATTGCGTTTGAAATGCGAACTGCGTAGCGAATTTGCCTAACTCACTCAAACCCCTTTAATTCGTTTAGTTTACAAATATCTAACTTTCTAATGCTAATGTTTTAATATTTTAATTCGTACTAAATACTTTAACAGATATCTATTCTTTTTTGCATTCCCACTATTTGTTTTAATTCAATTTCACTGGTTACCGCAAAGATTACTTCAAGTACAGCAGTCTAGATTCCATTTTTAATATATGTAGTTTTCAATATCAAAAACTTACTTACAATCAAAAATACTTTAGCCCCTTGATATATAGGTTTTTCCTAGAAAAAATGATTTCTGCAAATCATAAATACCTTTTTTTTTTGCTATTTTGTTTTGGCTTCGGCTTCTTTCAGTGATTTTTGCTTATGTTTTTTTAATTATACTGAAAAATGTCCAGTTGTAATATCACGAAAAGCTACAAAAGTATAAAAACAAGAGTGTTCACTTTTTAATTGTAAATTTGTATTAGTAATTGCAGATTAGGGACAAAGCAGTATTTAAAATTTTATTTTTACATATGCAAATTAATATTTCTGCTGCCACAGTTATAGTGAATATGTTTAAGTAATATATACACAATATAATTTGTGAGAAAGATTTTCGTTTTGTTTTTAATTTTGATTTTCTTAAATTTATTATTTCTTTAATTAGGTATATAGTTTAGTATTAGCAATAAGCAAGCTTAACTAGTTAATCCAAATAAAATATTATAACTCCATTTAGCATATAACTAATTTAAAATATAAGTGAAGCTTACTAACAACCGCACCTTGCAAGTTTTGTCGAAATTATTAAATATTGTAACTTCAACTTCACCCCACTCCATATCTACTGTTCCTTTATTAAGTATCTGTACCTAATACTATTTTCTTTGTAAGCTTAGCCGGAGGATAACCACATTAAATCAATCAGCCCCTCAAGCCTGATTAGTTTTATAAGGGCATTAGGTCTGGTTAAAATAATGTGAAGAAATAGGAGGGCACAATAGACCACTGATCGCAGTCCATATCCTCCTCATTAATCTGTCTATCTATCTTATAATCTGAAGCTCGAATTTACCTACTTACTCGTAATTTACCAACTTCTTACTTTCGTTAATAACGTAGTATGTATGTGTGTGTGTGGCTAATACCTTAAAATAATTTATAAACTGTATAAGTAAATTGAATGTGATTGTGTAATCATTTATTGACAAAATTTACTATTAATTTCATTTGGTTAAAAAGGAAATTAAATAAATAAAAAAAAAATAATTTTAAAAAATTAAAAAAAATTTTAAAAAATTAAAAAAAAAAAAATTAACNAATAAAAAAAAAAAATAAAAAAATTAAAATAAAAAAATTAAATAAAAAAAAATTAAATAAAAAAAATTAAAATAAAAAAATTAAATAAAAAAAATTAAATATAAAAAATTAAATAAAAAAAAAATTAATTAAAAAAATTAAATAAAAAAAATTAAATAAAAAAAAAATAAAACAAAAAAATAACAAAAAAATAACAAAAAAATAAAATAAAAAAAAATAAAACAAAAAAATAAAATAAAATAAAAAAAAATAAAAAAATTAAAAAAATTAAAATAAAAATAAAAATGAAAAAATAAAAAAATAATAAAAAATAATAATAAATAAATAATAAAGAAATGCATATAAAAAATAAAAAAATTAACATTTTAATAACCTTCACCTTTCCAAAACAGTTGAAAGCTAGTTGACATTTTTGTATAAATTCGATATGCAATCATCAATCACTTCCTCAACTTTAGGTATACACATGCATATATTTCACAAGCCAATGAATACCATCGTCATTTGCAACAACAACAGCAACAACGGCAACATCAGGAACAAAAGCATCACAGCAAATACAATCAACAGCATTTAAATATGTCGCTAAATCCCACATTACTAGATGACGGCAGCATGTATGGCATTGGTGGCAGAGAAACTTTGCGAGCTGCACGATCCACAAGCAATCTCTCTCAGATAGGCAGCGGGATCAGTGCTATTGGTGGCGGTTGCGGTGCCGGCAATGCTTTCACAGCATACTACGCTGGCGTTGGTGGTGTTGGTGCTGCTTACTATGCGCGATCCGATTATGCGGAGTCCAGGTGCTGCCAGCTACACGTTTTCTACTACTCTACTACTACTATTATTGATATGTATTTTGGTTTTGTTCGTAAAAATATGCAACGTAAAAATTACAAATTGAAATTAAATTCATAAAAAGTTAGTTTGCTTGTCGAAGATGCGGGTATTCACAGTGAAATTTTAATTTTATGTTTTTATCGACGAAATTTTTGCATTGTGCTTGAGCATTTCTCACTTCATATGCATTGAGTTGAAATCAAAGCCTAATATTCAACACTTATAATTACAAAAATGATTTCTAATGCTTAGCAAATTATGATAATTGACATTTAGTTACATTTTCCAACCCATCAATTTGGTTTTACTTACTTATAAATAAAAACTAATTCAGCCTATTACAAGCTGTGAATACCCACGCATATATATGCATAGTTATACGTATATATGTATATTGGTTTACCTAAATTGGCTTTCAGAAATATTTTTTTTATTATTTTCTCTTAAATATACATAAGTGCATTTTTGATATCTATAAAATATCTCATACTTACATACATACGCGTACATAGCATACATGCTCATACATATAAAATTGGTTGTACATAATTACACACTTTATTTGCATCTAATTTGGCTACATATTTTTGTATTGGATGTACCATGTATAAATAAAGGGGAACATTTTATTTTTTTATTTCCTATGAGTACATAAAGATAAGAATATAAATCTAGTAGATTTTGTGATATTTTTATCCGGTGCCCAGTCATTTACTGTATTTTCTAAATTTTTGTGGCTTTTATTTTTCCACACTTATGTGTTTGAGAGTTTTGGCTATTGGGATTCGTTATTATGTATTCTACAGAAATATTTATAACAATTTAAATAGCGCAGAATAAATAGGAGAGGAAATATTGATATTAGTGGTGTTTACCAGTCTTATTATATATTACTGAGCTGTTATTAATTTAATTAGATGTTAATTTTTTATTATCTAATTTTGTTTTATGTTTTTTAGATTTGCATTTATTTTTTATACTATTTTAATTTTAATTTATTTTTTAAACTATTTTAATTTCTATTTATTTTTTATTGTTTATTTATTTTTTGTTTATTTATTTATTTTTTATTGTTTATTTATTTATTTTTTATTATTTTTTTATTTATTTTTTATTATTTTATTTTATCTGTTTATTTTTTTTATTCAAATGCAATGATGCTAACATGTATGAGTTAACTCTTTTTTCATATATGACATTGTAAATATCGCCATCACTTAAAGTTTTTAATGTATTTGTTGTTTGACTGTGTTGTGCAAGTGAATTGCGTTTTATAAGAACTGACAACACTACTTTTTTTATATAAAAATCTATAGTTAAGTGCTTTGAATCTGAACAAACTTTTGAGCTTTTATTCTGAAATTTCTCTTTTATTATTTGTTTAACGCATGTAAACGTCTGAATATATATAACTTTTACATACATATACATTTAAAATTTACATAAGTATGTTTATATGTACATACCAAAAAGGAATATCAGCTAAAAAATCGCAAAAATATGTATTCAAAATATAATATAAAAATAAATAATTTAGGCACTAAGAGTGGCTGCCGCGAGATCCGAGTGGTTAGCATTGACCACTGTTGATCGGAAGGCCAGGGTTCGAGTCGTGTTAATATTAATTTTCTAATTGTGTTGCCCTTCGGCAGAGAATGTTAACCCCTCGGAGTGTATTTCCGACATGAAATAAAAGCTCGTCCTAAAAAAACTATCAGCCTCCGACATGGAGGCGGCTTAGTATAAACTGGAGGTTCCTCCACTTGTTGGAAAAACAATAAGACTCAAAACACCGAAAATCCCGTCAGCGGTTACAAAGCGCTTCTTTAAAGGCTTTAAATTAATAATAGAACTATGGAGCGAGAAAATATTACAGTAGTGGCCTTAATATATTCCTGTTGAATATACTTAGGTTCATTTAAAAATAACCATTTTTAAAAAGTATTTTTTTCTGAATCTTCTTCTAAAAAATGGTTCTTAGGTTTCTTTTTTCAATGCATGGCTTCTGTCGTACAATTAAATATTTTTTTATAAGCGCATACGCATACTAGTAATGATTATTTCTCTATTACTTTTTTATGATATATTTTATCTCAACTTTTAAGTGCATAAATTTTCTAATTTTGTTTATTAATTTCTCTGCTCAATATTTTATATATGTATTTATATCTATAATTTATAATTTTTATTTTTTACTAACATCTACACTTAACTTTTAGATCAGGTCATTTGTCACTTCGCGATGCCGATGTCATCGCTGAACCCGATCCACAAAGACTCACGCCACGTAAATTCGTTAATGAACACGCGATTGTTTCACTATCGGCCGGCATACTAGTAACCGTTAAACCGAAGTACACATCACATGGCGCTATTAGTAACATTGTGAAATTGCAACGCTTGGGTGCCAACGATGCGACACGCCAACTCTTCCAGGCCTATCCCGGACCGTTGGTACGTGGCCTTACACATAAGAAGACTATTATCGAATTCTGCGAAGATCAAATTCGTCTGGGCCCCATGGAAACTACTATCTATGCTAAGCAACTGGTGTGCAATAATATTGAGAAATATCGTGGCTCCTATACATTAATGTGGCAACTGTTGATATTGTTGTTGCGTCAAAATGGAGTAAGTGACATAAAATTAATTATTGCGTTTTTTCTCTTTATAAAATTTCACGTATTTGTTCCCATAGATGGTCGTAGGCACTGATATAGCTGAATTGCTGCTAAAAAATCAACAGCAATTTCCCTATGAAGCAGTAGAAAACACTGAAGGTGATGGCGATGGCGATTCATCTGCGAAAAGTGGTGATGAAGAAGTTGTGCAAGACAAGCAAGTCATTGATGCCGTTGCGAGCGAGCAAGATGTCGCGTCCGCCCCCAAGCAGATTTTAAAAACCTCGTCAACCATCTCAAACCCTCCAGGACTAACTGATGCGGAAATAACCGATAAGTTCCGTAACTATTTGCTCTATGGCAACGTGAATGAAGCGCTTGACTGGGCTACAGATAACAATTTATGGGGACACGCACTCTTTTTGGCCTCTAAAGTGGACCGTCGTTCGCATGCTAATGTCATGATGAAGTTTGCCAATAAACTTTCCCTAAATGATCCACTTCAAACACTCTATCAGCTGATGAGCGGCCGTCAGCCGTCAAGTGTGACAAGTGTACAGGATGAGAGGTGGGGCGATTGGCGACCACATCTTTCAATGGTTCTTTCAAATACGTCACAAAAACCAGAATTGGATCGCAAATCGATAACAACCCTTGGTGATTCGTTATTTAATCGCGGCGACTTATATGCCGCTCACTTCTGTTATCTAATGGCACAATTAGGGTTTGGGCGTTATCAAGAGAGTGCTACACAGGAGACCACCTTACAACAGCACTTGCCAAAGTAAGTTTTCCCATTCTTCCTTCGCTAGTATTCTCTTCACTTACAACCCGATTTAATGAATCTCCTAAATCTCTCTTTTACTAACAGACTCGTTCTGCTTGGCTCATCACATTATAAATCTTTCAACGACTTCGCGACCAATGAAGCTATTATGATGACAGAAATTTATGAGTATGCCTGCTCATTGAACGATGATAAATTCTCGCTAGTTGAGTTTCAGGTAAGCCGGTTTTGTCGCTTGCCTAATTCCAGTTTCGTTTTTAATACATATATGTTCTTCTTTCAGCCTTATAAATATATGCTGGCTACGCGCTTGCTGGATTATGGCTACAATTTACGTAGCTTAATGTATTTTGAACAAATTGCGTTGCATATACAAGCCGATCCGAGCAAATATGAGTCGAGCTTTATAAATAAGGTGAGTTACTTTACGATGAGATGCTCACCAACGAAGTGGAATTTCTTGTTAAAATAAATTTCTTACCATCTTCTCGCAGATCTACGAATTTGCTGATCGCCTCAAATACTACGATCCGGTGTTGGAACGTTCCATGGATGATCAACAACAACCGGTTGATGGAAATTTGAATAATAGCCAGTTGGCAAATTTCGAGGAACAAAAATGGTTGCAGGATTTGCGTTCCATTGCTGTGCAGCATAAGGTGAGCTAGAAAAAGGAAATGTGATTGTAACACACTCTAACTCGCAAACTTCTCAGAGTCGAATCCTTTTACCCAAGTGTTTTATATCTTGTCCAGTATGAATTTATTAATTTATCATCTGATTTTTATAATTTTCCACTTGTTGTGTAGGTCGAGTGCAGTGCTGGTGGGCAAATCGCTGAAACCCAGAGTCAAATTGATCAGCAATTTGTCGAGCTGAATAAACAATTTAACGAGCTGAATATGCAATATAACAGTCTTGGCAATGTGGAGCAAACGCCAACCTTCTATAATCCAGAGACACTGCAGCAACAGCAACAGCAACAACAACAACAACAACAACAACAACACACCGATCCCTCTGATGATCATTATAATCAGCAGCAAAAACAACAGCAGGCAGCGCAGAGCGTTGAGCAAGAAGCTGCACCAACGGCAGATGCCAGTGATGCATATAGTTATTATAACCAACAACAACAGCAACAGCAACAATATATGCAACCGACAGAGGTGCAGCAACAGCAACAACATGAGCCACACTCAATTCCTTATTATGATCCCAACCAACAACAGTCACATCAACAGCATTATCAAGGCTATGGCGCTGAAGCTTTAGATGCACAAAATAATGCTGCCACATATGATTATTGGAGCCAACAACAACAGCAGCTGCAATCCCAACCACATGCTGGTTATGATGATGAGGTAAGTGAAGTGCTTAACCGTTAACTGTTATGAGTGTGTTGATGTTAAGAATTTTGTGTAAAAATGAAGAATGGTAAAAAACGCGTAGAATTTAGCAACAAGAAGAAAATATGAAACTTTTTTCTAAAAGCATATGCTTTGCACTACCCTTCATCCGCACTCGTGCACTGTTGTTTGGAGTGTTCGCGCAGCGTGTTGTTTTGCAAGCAATGCAAGAGTGGCGGAATAAAAGTATTAGTTTTCCACATTTTAACGCATCCTTAGGTGTTTTTCTACATATTTTAAAGCTTGTAGAAACTCATTAAGTTTTATTGACAAATTTATTTTGGAGTCTCTTATATTTTGGGTTTTCCTCCTGCTTTACAAGTTTTTTACTGTTTTGAAGTTTGGAAATTTTTTGGTGACTTCTAAATTATGGAAATTTAAAATAGTCATATTTGATTGAATACCGTTTGGAGTGCTAAAGTTGTACTAACCAATTTTTGCTTTCAACTTGACACTTTCATTCGGCCACCTGCGTATTCTGCTTCACGTTTCCATATGTAAATTATACACTTTTTTCCATTAATTATCATAAACCTACAAATTTGTACGCATGCTTGCCATAATTCGTAACTGGATTTGAATGGAAACCTCGCTGCCGTTAGTATGAACACGCTACAAGAGACGATGAAGAGGATGATGACGATGATGAGCCAACAACAAGAACAAGAGCGCTGAGAAAATCAGCATTGCAAGATATTGCCGGAAGGGTTGAGGCGACTATAAAATCAGTTGAATCAGTGGAGTTACAGCAACAACAAACACCCGCCATGGCAACGGCAGCGGTAACAAAAACAAATATATTTAAAACTCAATTGGAGAGTGTTAGAAAGCTGCAACAACAAGGCGACCTTCCGTCGGGTATAACCGCAGCCGCAGCCAAATTGTATAATAGCTATGATGGACCGCAAACACGTGTCGCCCAGAAGCCGAACACTAATCACAACAATAACAACAATAACATCAACACTAGCAACAATTTGAAGCAACAGCAACAGACGCAGCAAAGACAACAACAACAGCATTTGGCAAATTTGGCTACATCTTTTCTCAGCACGCCACCCGAAGTAAGTAAATATAGTAATGATGTGCAAAAACTGCAACAACAAACGCTGCCACCGCAACCGCAAACGCAAACGCAACAGAAACTACAACCACAGCAAAGTAATGTAATTAATGCGAAGCTCAAAAATAGTCTTAGTCCGAATTCGAAAGCGATTTCGAGTTCAAATTCACAAGCGAGTGCAACAGTGAAACGCGTTAATTTTGACTTGCCACAAAGAGTGGAAGACAAAGACGCAGCGGTGCAGGGTGCAAGAGACTTGAGTACCACAGCTAACCAAATTAGTAGTAGTGATAGTAGTAGGAATAGTAGTGATAGAAAAAATAGTAGTAGTAGCCGGGTAGAGAAGCTTGGACTATCAAATGTCACTTCCAATGCAACAAAAACCTTACATAATAAAACGCTTGACACCTACCGACGTAGCAGCAACAGCGGCAACAGCGGCAACAACGCTTCAGCTGTTGAAACTGCCAAACCGCTAGCTACCAATGATTCCAACCGCAACGCCGTGAATAAGAGTAAATATCCAGCGCATTTTGCCAACATCTCACCTCGTAAGCACATCGTCTATAACGGCACCTACCCCATCGATTTACCGTTAGAGTCACGCTTCACCGCTTTAGAACGCGACTATGACCCCGAGGCGAATGCCCAAACGGCGCGCCTGAAGTATGCACACATGCTAAACGAGTACGACTTGGACACACGCGACATGCTCGACGATGTGGCGGAGGAGGACGAAGATGATGATGAGGATGAGGTTGACGACGACGACGATTACATTGATGACGATGAAGATGACCTTTTCACGGCTGACATCGTTGATGGCAGTTTGCCCTACGATATTGAGGAATTCCTTGGCGCACAGAGTAGACCACGGCGCCAGCAGCGTAGCTTGCTCAGTCGTCTGGGCATCATTCGTCAGACGTCGAGTACTACGAAAAGTGGCGGCTCAGTGGGTGCTTCAGTACAGCACACCACAAACCATCATGCTGTCTGGTCTATGCAGGAACTCATCGCCAATCCATCAATTCCTCTTAACTACCAGAAGATGTGTCACGAAGTTGAGCAAAGTTTGACGTCTTTTGAAAAATACCTCGACTCGAAGACATTTGAACAGGAGCGCAAGGCGCAGCACCAGTCAGTGCGTACCTACGACATAGATAGACCGATAGATGAGGCGCAGGATAAGAAATATATTTAATTTAGTTGGCAGTTCAAATATGAAAAAATTAGCGAGTTCATGAGCGTTTATGAAAATATTATTAATTGGAATGAAATTTTTGTTTGAAAATATTATATCTTCCGGTGAACAGAAACCCGTTGAATTTGCGTATACAAAACATTTAACTGGTAAATGTTGTGCACTAATCTAATCTGCCACAATGTAAAATTAATATATTTAAATGAGTTTTTCGTTGCATTTGTACTATGTATTTAAATTTTATTATTTAACATTTGCTCGAATACATTTCGAATAAATCTTTTAAAAATAGAGAAAACCATTTCGTGTAATGTATTTCAGGAGAGAAAATTTCGATTAATACAATTTTAAAAGCATCAAATTCTAAATTTGCTTATAAACATAAGAAGAGTTTTTATTTTAGGAAAATTCGCAAAGCGCCACGCACTTTATTGTCCAAGCGAATATCTCTATTGATTGTAAAACTCAAAATTGGATAATACTTTTATAATACTTATATTTTTCTCATTTCCTGAGTTTTGGGAAGAGTTTGTTTTAACATTTTTTGAAATTATTTGTACAAAGTCGAGAACAGTTTCTAGGCTGAATTTTTTCGCTATTTTATTTTGTAAAATGCTTATATTTTAAATACGAGCTCTAAGCTTAATCCCAAATGATTTTTCCACTTTTATATTTTTACTTTTGGCATTCTTCATATTTAATTTAATTTTTTTTCTTTGTCATACATATATATTTTGATTTTTTAATCATAATTTTTTTTTCACAAAAAACATTTACACACGTCTTTCTGGCAAAAACTCGGAAAACTTGATCAAAATACACGCATAGTATGTACATATGTAAGCCGCAAAAATATTTAAAATATGCGAAATCACACAAAAGAAAATACATAAATACAACAACAAAAATGTATTTGTTTTGTCTTTAAGCAGTCTTATTTCCTAATTTATTATTTTTAAAAAGAAAATATATACATATGTAACTATTTGTGTGAGTTGCAAGATTTAGCACAAGAAATAAATATGGACAAAACGAAGAATGTATTATTTTTGAATAAGAGTTTTTAAGATTTATTAACCTATTTATTAATAATCATTAGTAAAATGTATAATATGTCAAGAGAAATTAAGTTTAATTTATACATATAAACAGAAAAGGAGCAGAGTGTAAGAGTTTTTAAGCTCGCTGCATACTTGATTGGAGCTTTTATACCAATACACAAAAATCAAAAATTCATAATTAACTGAAAACTAAAAAAAGCTGCACAAAGACTTCAAGCGAAAAACACGTTGGCGACTTTGATGAAAGCTACTGAGGACTGGAAGTGAAAGCTGCAAGGAATAAGTGACCGCTGCGGGGATAAATAAAAGCTTCAAATAACACAACTCTTTGCGGCAAACAAGCAAATGATACTCTACGATGTCTGTTGAGCTTTTTTTAAAGGCTTGCTTGCTTTTTATATCTCTTCGCTGTTCTGAAGTTTTTAACTCTTTCAAGCAGAATTTTATTCTCCCTTCTTTTTTGGCTGACTTAACTAAACCCGCTATGAGCTATTGCTTTTTTACTTCCATTAAAGTAAATTAATCAAATTTACTGTTTTTTATTTCATCTAATTTTTGTCCTAAAAATGCCATTATGTAACATTTCAAATTCGTCAATAACCTTTAGAGCTCGCGGCCCACCATATCAATGCCGAAATCCAAAAATTATGACTCGGATGAGCAGCAGCAAAAACAGCAAGTGCAACAAAAAGAAGTCGGCAGTAAGCAGAGCGAATCGTTGCTGGGTGGTAAAGCTGATGGCGGAAAGCAGGCGAATAAAAGGTGAGTTGATTTAATAATGCAGAAAACCCAAAAAAAAAAATCAACATTTTTTCCCCGGAAGCTTCGAAATTTATGTGAAAGTTTTGAATTTCGAGGGATGATGAGTAAGCTTTCGCAGTGCTTTTGTACTGATTCTTTATATTCTTAAAAATTGCTTTACAAAACTTATACACGCTCCTTCCACACAGCTCCCAGCAGGGCAATCAAAACTCCGGCTGGTTCGGTGGTATTTGGAATAAGCTTTCACTCAAACCGAAAAATCAGATGATATTGCCCGATGATAAAAATCCAAGCATTGTTTGGGATCCCGAGAAGAAACGCTGGGTAAATACCGATGGCGATGAAGCGACTGAAGAAAGCTTTAAGCCGCCACCCAAAATGAGCGATTTGATGGCACAAGCAGCGCCACCGGCAATGGCAGCACCACCAGTAACTGTACCACAGTCATATGCTCCACAACAGCTGCAGCTGCAGCAGCAACAACAACCTCAGCAACACCTACAGCCACAGCCTATAGCACCGCATCCCTCACCATTGGTCGACACGCACCAATATACAGCAGCAACTGCGCAGCCAGCAGCACCAGCCCCAGCACCCTCAGTCTCACCAGCGCCCGTTTCCAGTTACAGCGCGCATGCATTGACCGGCACCGAAGCACCGGTGGGCGCTGCCAAAACACCCAGTTTGCAGTCGAACATGTTCAAAATGCAACGAAATCGAAGTGAGTGTGGAAAAAATACAGAAATTGAAAATTAAAAACTTAACGAAAATCACTTTGTGTTTCAAAACAGCTTTGAAGAATTCCTACGTTGACGTGTTTAATCCCTCAGGTGCGCCCATGAAATCGGTGGAGAACGTGATGGCTCCGGCATTGCCACCCGCTGCAGTGCCCCAAAGTGGCTTCTTCATACCGGGAGCAGTGCCTGCAGCTGCAACGACAGCGGACCATAGCGATGCTGGTGTATATCAGCAGCAACAACAAGATGTGAGTTGAACTTTCTAAATGGAATTTTTTTAATATGAAATGCTGAATGAATAATATTTTGAAAGGATAAGAGTTTCAAGCATTTAATAAATTTTAATTCACTTTCCACATTCTGCTCGCATCATTGCAGGTGCCACAATTCTACAATCCAAATCAATTCAGCGGCGGTGCTTATTAGTTAAGTCAGCGAGCATTCTCTTACATATGCAAACACACACACACACAAACAAACACATTCAGCTTATATAACCAAAAAATGGTGGTAATAAAATAGGCATTCACATAAATAGCTAAGATATTTAAAAATTTTTTAACAAAACTATAAAAAACTGAGAATATTAAATTGCGTAAAAAGTGAAAAATAACAAAGGTTTGAAAATTGAAAACAAAACAACACAGCAACACAGCAACAATGAATAAAATATACATATTCAGATTGTTTTGTGTGTTTACCGTGTGGTTCAGTGCGAGATTGCTGTGTATATACATTTGTATAGCGCTATGTATCATTATGTATTGTGTACTAGCAACGAAAGAAAGACGAGAATTTGAAAACTAATAAGAGCAGACTATATACTATATATATATATGTACATGTTTTAAAAACAACAGTATAAGTTAAGCTAAAAACTAGAAAAAATGGGAAAATGGTAATTTATCTTAAATAAACTAAATAAATTAATGAATACGTATGCAACTGTAAAACAAATTGGAAACAAAATCAACTATCACATATATATGTATGTAAGTCATTGACGATAGTAAAATAATTATAGCGATTGTAATGATTTCTAATTATAAATAAATGAAGAAAAGGAAAACAAATTTATTGAAACGTTCGAAAAAAAAAAACAAAAATAAAAATTAATCAATCAATAAACTTCGCTACACTTACTCCCACACATGCATACATACTACTACATCCATACGTAAATGTTTATTTGCAGTTTATATGTTTATATGCCTCAATTATCTTTTAAATTTAAATAAATAAATGATGTATATGTACTATCAATATTATTATTGTAATTAATATTATTATAATATACATACATAGCTATATGCATAATATATTATGTTCTATTATAAATATTGTAATTGTTTGTGTGTGAACAGCAATGCTTAAATGAAATTGTTAAATAGTTTTAGTTCTTAAAGACAAAACAAATGCATGAGCAACAACAACAAAAAACTGAGACAAACAAAACGGATGTGAAACGAAAGTAAATAAAACGTATAATTAACTGCTACAAAAAAAAAAAAAAACAAAAACAAAAACAAAAACACTGTCATTATTCTGTTAATTTTTATTTTTCATTCATTTGATTACAAAAGCATTTTTTTTAATTTTTTTAATCCATCAATTTATGCTTCTTCAAGCTATAGTTTTTGACATACAAGTAGAAAAAGATGACTTAATTGCTATGAGGAACTCTCTTTCTAAGGCTCTCCCATTGGGAATGTGAAAACGATAAGTTCTGTTTGTACGTATTCGACGGGAAGCTGGAGCTGCGCTTTCTTAACAGGTAATTCCTTAACAGGTTGGCAGAAAAAATTTAAAAACAATCAAAAATAGAAAAAAATTTAATAAAATAAAAAATTTCATAAATTTGCAATAACACAAAAAACTGCATTGAATAAAAAATAGAACAAAATAGAAAATTAAATAAAACAAGAATAGAAAAATATATATTAAACATATATGTATGGTATATTAATTAATGTATTTTTTCATTAAATTTTGTTTGTACAATACTTAATTTCAGAATTCCGAATTTCGAAATACTTACTTTTTATGAAACACTCTGAAAAATAAGTATCGACATACGAGTACAAAGCTTTTTTTTTGTTCTTGAATATATTTGTTTTTTATTTCACTTTTTTGGTTTCATTTTGGTTTATTGCCCTGCTACTACTTACATACAAAAAATTATAATAATAATAATAATTATAATAATAATAAGTACGATAATACACTATTATAATTGCGAGTAACATACGTGTTCATTATTCGCTTATTTTCTTAATTATAATTATAATTATAATAGCTACATGATCGTATATACCATATAAGAAATATATGCATGTAATAGAATGTGTATATAAATATTTTAGTACCGTTATACATTGTATATGATTATAACTTTTATTTTTTTAATTGTGTACATAAAGTCAGAATTCAGTAGGAAATTAGGTTATATTTCTAATTTTTTCGAACATTTCGAACAATAAACAAGTTGGGAAGTTTTTTTTGTTAACTTTTAAGGAAACAGTTTTAGTTCAAAGAATTTTTTTTTGTACGAAAAAAACTGATCCTTTTTTATGGAAATTAAATTTTCGGTGAGTGCGTGACATTTCAAATTTATTATTTCAATAATGTATTTTTTGCAAAATTTAAGAATTTGTCCTTGTGTAAATTCATTTTCATGAAAATTCGCTTGATTTCTAATTCTAAATATTATATTCAGCATTTTTGTGTATAGTTTTTGAGTTTGTATTTTTTTTTTTTTGGTTTTTAGTTCTCCTTTTTTACAACTATAAATTCTATAAATATTTACAATTCTAAGCTATAAACTAGATTTGAGTCAGCTTGTATGGAGTTATGTAAGCCACTAACACATACATACATACTGTAACAATAACCTAGTTTTTATTAGATTTGATTCTTCGTTTTTTTTTTCTAAAATTTAATTGCTAATATTTTTATTTTATGCAGTTATAGTTTTCTCAGCGTATTTGAATAGTGTGTTTCTTTATGTTTTTGCGTGTATAATAATAAAGTGTTTAAATTTACACATAAATCATTTAGAATATATATGTATATGTATGAAGTTTCATAAATATATATTTAGTATAATATAATAAATTTGTAGTAATTTTAATATATTTATTAAGCAAATACATTTTGTGACTTTCAGCATAATAATGAGTGCAACTTAGTCTTAAAATATTCGCTTTAACACTCCTATTCGTTTTGATGATTTCACTTTTCGCTTTCACAACTTTATAACGGTATTTTAATATTGCGAAACTAAAAGGTATTGAAATGGGTGAGAAAAGCTGTTTTGATCCTCTATAATGTTTGGAAAACGTGTTAAAATCTTAAATGTTTTCGGTAAAAATGAGCTGAAACCTCTGAAACTTTTAAGTTCACCGTGGATTTTGAAAGCTGAAAAGTTTTGAAAAACTAAAAACTCTTGAACATAAATTCAATGTAAAAACTATAATGAGTTCATAGGGAAAAATTGTTTGAGGCTTAAAAACATGAGGAGCTTTTGGTGTCTTTTATCAAAGATTCTTAAATTTATAAAAATCCTTTTAACAAAATTAATTTCATAGTGCCCTCGCAGAACTTAACTACCGTTATAAGGCATACTAATTTTCGTATGATTTCTCTGCAATAGCCTAGTTTTCTTGTTATTGTTTATAAATAGGACACACAAAAGTTCGAGTTTCGATTCGTTTTTATGCAAAAAATTTAAATATTTTCTGTTTTTTTTTTTTTTAAGTTCCTGCACAGATAAAATATCGAGCAAAAACCCCAGTTATAAAAAGCTTTCGATAACCAGGAAGTATCGGTTGAGATATTGGAAGTACACAAAGTACAAATCGCCGAGGAATTGGCGCACAACTTTACTGGTCACAGCTTTTAGCATTGTTTAATGAAATTCTAATTTTTTATGTCGGGCTGAGTGTAGGGACATTAATTCGTGTCTTGGAAGCTGAGCTTTTATTGTTTATCTTCGAAACCTGATCGATGCCGAGTGATACTGAATTGTTTGCAAAGAGAGAGCTTTTATCTCTGCAATTTCATTCAAGCGCTCTTTTGGCTGAGCTTTTCCTCAAACTTTTCTCATTCAAGCTCTGCGACTTTAAACCTTTGGCTCATTGTACAATATTTTAATATATTTTTGGCTTGTCTAATAGATACTCGTTAATGTGGGTAAGCGACTCCACTCTATTTGATGCGCTGATGGTCCGGCGTACTCTTCAATATGTCTGGTTGATGATGGTGTCCATGGGCGTGTGATGAGCTCATGGTGCCCTGATGACTGCCGCCCAAAGAACTGCCAATAACATGCGTACTAATACCTCCGCCGCCGCCGCCACTGTAGTGCGACGAGCTGAGTGTGTGCGAATGTGTCGAGTTGAGCGTGTGCGTGGCATGCGAGTTGAGTGTGTTGTGTGCTGTGGTCGTGGCGTTGGTAGACATGCCAGCCGTGGTGGTGCCACAACCACCGATGCCGGTGCCGGTGCAAGTACCAGTGCCCGTGCCTGTGCCTGTGCCGCAGGCAGGACGCGAACGTAGCGATCGGTGTGAGCCATTGCGAGTGAGTGTGTTCATTTGTGGCGTGCCGGGCACGGTATGGCCGAGGGCGTTCATATAGTCGGCGATGAGCAGTGTAATTTCGAGTATTTTCGGCTTGCTCATGGCAAAGAGCAACTTCTGCTCTTGTGTGCCACACGTAGCGAGCGTATCCTCGTTGGAAACGACCAACATGAAGTCATCCTGGCAGCCGCCGAACGTCATAACCGTTGTATAGGGATAGCGTGCCATTGGCGTCATCGAGCTGAGCTCGAGCACATTGAGCGCATCTTCGGAGACAGCCAACCAGGCCATGGCCTGATCGGAGTGACGCGGCTTCGCTTGGAAGAGACTGGCCCCGAAGTAGGGCCACTTGCGACAACATGTCAAATAGATACGCACACAGTCGAGCGTTGAGCGTCCCTTGAGTAGCATCCACTTTGAAATAAGCAACTCTTGCACCTCCTTCAGCTGTTCGGCGTTGAGCGCGTCGCGATAGCGGTAGGGGTAGAATTTATCGAGAGCCTTAATGCCCACATTGCTACCCGTGCCGCGCGACTTTTCGTGCGAGTAGTCGCCCATGTCGATTTGTGACATCAGCGAGGCCAACTCGAGCGCTAAGTCACGCGACAGCGGAAAACGTCCTTGTACTATTTGTGCATTCGTTTGGTAGCAGAAGAGCAGACGCTCCTTGTCTGTCTCGAATTTGACAGTGTGTCGCCAGTAGAGACGATTCTTGTAGGTTAATTGTATAACGCGTGTGTTTTCGAATTTTCCAGAGCCCTTTTCACGTAAGGCAGTCTCCCATTTCGAGATGACATCACAGAGTTTAGCGAGTGGATCGAGATAGTGTTCGAGATCTTTTTCGATTGGATCGTCGCTGAAGAGGCAGAACCCGTTGGTGGCATCGCGTGTGCCGATCTCCTGTGCGAGCGTGGTTTGGAATTCCTCGATTGTGGTCGAGCCATCGAAGGAGACGACCTGGAAGTAAAGGTGAGAGAGGAGAGGGTGATGTAAATTTATGCTAAATTTATTGAAAATGTAAGTGGCTCAATGAAATAGAAAAAAAATAGTGAGTATCTACAATCTTTACAGAAAAACTAAGCCGAGTGTGATTGATTTCTGTGAGAAGAAATCAGCACACGCTAAGCTTTTCTCTCGAGCCCTTGCCGTAATTAACTTATTTTGGGGAAAATAGATGAACGTGGTAATTACCTGGTAAGTGGTGTTCATCATGTGCACCGGTATGGCGTGTGGCAGTGAGTGATGATAAGGATTCTTCAGCAGTATGGATAGCACTTCCATGCGTGAGGGCTTCGTCTCGCGACCGCCATTCTTCAGCGTACGCTCCAGTGCGCGCTCACAATAAGCTGCATACTTGCCCGTCTCGGTTTTCGTATCCGCATTGCGTGATAGATGCAACTTCAGATACCAGAGCAGACGACTCGACTTGGGCACAAACAGCGAGACGGCGAGTGAGAGCAGTTGCCAGCCTTGGACGAATGAGTAGGCAGGAGGGTTTGATTTGCAATCGATGATAGGTGGTGGAGCGGGTGCCTGTGGGAGTAACAGTAAAAGACAGAGAGGAAAAGGGAGAGAGAGAGAGAGAGAGAGGGAGGATAGAGAAAGATGAAGTAGAGAATGTTAGTTAGCTCAATTTGAGAGTTTGCTTCTAAAATACATGCTTCATTGAAAAAGGAGCTTAAATCTAAAAAAATCACTTAAGTGCTTAGTTCATTGGTTAGTAAATAAATATATGCAATTTTGAAAATTTCCCCCCATACCTGTATGGATGTCGGTGAACTGCCATTGGCCTGTGCGGTGCCACCTTGTTGTGTGTCACAAGTAAACAGGCTCTGCGTGGCGCACAATAGTAGTTGCTGTAAATTTCGATTTACAATTTCATATACCGTTCGTTTGCACATTCGCCATACATAAACGAGTAGCGAGTAGCGTGTAGCGAGAGACGAGTAGCGGGTGCAGGTTATTTTGGTTGTTGTTGGTTAGTAAGTTGTCACCATTTTTGGTTGGTTTGGAGAATTTTTTTGGTTTTTGGTTTTTGGTTGGAGATTCGGTTTGGAAGCATGTTAGCAAAGACATATACCAAAAATCATAAAGAGAAAAAAACAACAACAAGAGGAAAAACGAAAAAGTTGAGAGAGCGAGAGAAAAAAGGTATTGAGTTTGGTTGGTGCTTTCGAAATTTTGTTTATATATTTTTTAAATTTTTTTCTAAAAAATTTGCAGACATGTGTAAATTTGGTGTTGGAATTTTCTCTTTCTAAGTAGTGTAATGTTGGAGTGATGTTTGTGTGGTCAGTAATTTTCAAGTGTTGATCTTTTGGTTGATTTATATGATTGCTATTTTCCATTTTCTAAGCATCTAAATAAATAATTCTCACTAGAGAATATTGAATTACTATAAGAAATTGTTTTCATTAAAGAAAATAATCGCGTTTTCCACAGAATTTGAAAATTTAAAAGTTCTAAATTATTTTCGTGTAATTTTTTTTTTTTTTGAAACAAATTTTAGTGTTTTGTAATAAAAAAGTCTTTGGTTAAAAAAATTTCTTTCGTTAATTCTAATTCAATTTTAAAATAAAATATTGATTTGAGAATACTAATAAATATAAATTCGAGCAACAAAATGTGCACTTCGTAGATTATGTACAAATTTGAACTGCGGAGAAGTAAATATTTACATGTATAAAACTGTGTGTGTTAAAAATAAAATCGAATTTCAATATTTTCATAACCGCAAATTTGAGTTAAATTTTTGCAAAAATAAAAACAATGGTGGTTTAGTGAAAAATGACTCTGAAGAGAATGGTAGAATGGTAGGAGCACTGCTACAAAGTGGAAAATGTATGTTCTAAATGCACGAATATGTAAAGTAGACGAAAATGTATTTAAGATTTACAGCAAATACTTTAGGTATACATATATGATTTATATATATTTTTTTTATAATTTAGATGCTATGAATATTTCTGTATTTTAAATTTATTTCCATCTAAGTTTCTGAGTGATATCCTTGACAATAATATAAAAAGAATAATATTTATGCTGATAATGTGGTTTGATCTTTTACGTGGCTGGGTTCGAAATGAACCGATTTGAAAATATTTTGCCCCTCGGCAGGCATTAAGAATATTATTTGGAATTGTTTACACCGCAAAAATTCATTTGAACTATAAAATTTACAAAAAAGATGTTTGAAACTTGATTCGGAACAATTTCCAGTTTTCATGAGCAAAATATTTAAATTTATTATTTAACAATATTTTTTGATTTCCTATTCCGAAATCGATAGTTAATGTAATAGATCGATTACTTTTTAAGCCAACTGTGCGAATGTAGATTATTTACAACATAACTGGCGCGTAGATTAAAGTATATAGTAGCTTTTCGCAATAGTTTCATATGTTTACAGTTATATGAGGGGAAATTTTTTTTAAATAAAATCGTATTAAGTTTAAAGCCTTATTAATAATTAAAATTTTTTAATATTTATTTTCTCGTTTCTATTCTTTAATATTTAATTCTAATTTTAATAATCTTATTTGGGTTTTTATAAACAAGGCTTTTATCAGATACGTATATAATATATGTGTGAAATATTTACATGAAAATAAACACTACAAACTTTACTAAACTACTAAGGATAAATTTGAATAGATTTTTTCTAATTTTGCTACGGAGCATGCATTTTTCTATTGTTAAAATCAAGTCCTATTAGAAATGGATAATAAATATAAAATCATATTATCAAATAATTTGTTTTCAACTTTAGTTGATTTTTCTTTTTTTTATTTTTAATATAATTTTTAATATTTTACATGACAGTATTACCACGTTTGATGTTTTATTATATATTTAATACATTAATTTAATTAATTTATTTTTTGATTATGCATTTTATTTAGCTTTTAATTAGTTCAATTAATATTAGTTTATTTTGATTTAATTAAATTTATTTTATTTACTTTATTTTATTTCTTTGTATTTTGTTAGTTTTTAATAAGGTTATTTTATATTAATTTATATTCTTTTTTTGTTAAATTCATTTTATATTTAATTTTGTATATTATTATTTTCTATTTAGATGAATTTCTGTTTTATATTATTTTGAATTTGGTTTAAGCGAATTTTAATTACTTTAATCTATTTGAGTATAATTTTTTATTTTACTTTTTCTATTTAAACCATTTTTTGTTTTAAATTATTTTATTTTATTAATTCTTAAATTATCATTTTATTTATTTAATTTTTTATTTGAATTTTTTAATTTATTTAATAAATCAAATTTATTTTATGTTGTTTAATTATTTTATTTTATATAATTTACTTACTTTATTTAATTCAGATTTATTTTATTTTACCAACTTTTTTACTTTAGTTATTTTAATCTATTTTTTATTTTATTTTTATTTTATTTCAATTCAACTAGATAAAAATTAGTTTCATTTGATTTAATTTTTTTAATGGAATTTAGTTCTTTTTTATTTATTTCTATTTTCTTTTTTTTTAAATATCTTTTATTCTATTTTTTTTTTATTTATATTTTATTCCTACTGCATTACGAAGCCTAGCAAAGTGCCGTTTTATATTGGTGGGTGATATTTTATGTTTTATTTCTTTATTCTATTGCATATATTTCCCTACATTGTTGTGGTTCCCTGTGTAAGTATGTATGTTCTGTTATGTACCGTAATTTGCTTCTGGTTAACTGTTCTGTGTAGGAGTTTTGGTGTCATTACAAAGAATACTCAATAATTACATCACATTATCATTTTGTACACAGGCGTTCGCAAGATCTTCAAAAGCGCATCGGAAACGAAAAAATTACAAGCGACGTAGCACAGTGTAAACTAAAAACTGATAAGTAGCATAATGCAAATTATTTAAAAAAAAATTAATAAAAAATTAAATAAAATCGATTGAACAATTTTTACCCTTTCCTTTGTTTAATTTATGTCAGTTTGTAGAGAAGCAGAGGGAAGAATGAATGATTTACTTTAGAGAGACAGATCTGCTGATATATTTTTTTTACAGGCAGTAGCTGATCGGTTAGTAGTGCTTACGACTATGCGCAATGCAACGTGTTCGAATCCTTCTCAGACCAACAAAAAAATTCTAATTCTGTTTGCGCCTCGACAGTGTATATCTGATCTGTAATAAAAAAAGTTCTCATAGAAAACTCTCCGCCGTTTAGGAACATCAAGATACATTTTAAGTAATCTTAGAAGGTGTTATGAGGTAAGGTAGTAGGGGGTATCTTAAAATAATAATGATGTGGTGTAATTGGCACTGAATGCAACCACCTTTTGACTTCACATTTCTAAACGCTTTGTTTCCCTTTACGCTTTTAAGTTCACACAACTTCATGCGCTGCGAGACTGGATTACTTTAGGCAATGATGCCTAGACTTAACTTAAACGACCTGTAGAGTGGACACTATCTGAATTTTGATAGTTTTATTGGAATTAATTAAGAAAGAAATCTTCTCCCCATACTGTCCAAAAAATATCCTCAACTAAAAAAGTTTATAGAAGTAAAAGAGTTAAATGAAAATTTTACAAAAAACTACAAAACTAATTTTTTAAGTTTGGTGCGTGGTTTTAGTTCAAATTCGGGTTAGTAAAAACGACACTAATTCACTAAAACTAAGACTAATTAATAAAAAATAAAACTCAAAATAAACGAAGGGTTGTAAAAATATTAAGTAAACTATGAATGAAAAGAGAAAAACTAAACTAAACAACACAACAAGGGAACTAAACGAGAAAAGCTTTTGCAACTTAAAAAACTTACGCGCGTTTGCTTGCCCAGTTTCTTGTTTACCTGGACGCCGACACTAAGTTTTTGGCCCGTGTGCCGTGACGTTTGCTTTACCAAAATGCCAATCATTTCCGTTTGCAGTTCGGGCATATCGAGGCAGTGTTGTAGGGCGTTCTGTGCCAAGACGACGTGATAATCGATGCCGGGTTGGTTAACTGCAACGGACATGAACAGTTGAATACTCTGCGGAGAGAAGGAGAGAGAAAGAGAGATAGAGAGAATGGGTGAGAGTGGAAAGGTGTGTCAAAAGAGCTTAAAAGTAAGCCAGGCATAACATTTTATTCAATAAAAAGTCCTTCATTCTAAGACTCACCTTAAACAGCTTAATAGCTTCTGGTTGCATGGCTTCCGAGTGTAGCGAGGTAAGCGGTGATGTAATGGCGTCTTTGGTATGTAACAAAATTGGATGGCGCCATAGAACACAATCTAGAAATACAGAAAATCAGATTTAGCATTTTGCATAAACTCTTGAATTTAGCATTCGCTACTAATACTCACTGGGATCTCCATCAGTCTCCATAAGTTTCTGTACGAGCTGTTCGTATTGTGTGCCCGCATTCGGGCCTCCTCCAGACACTACAGTCAAATGATATAGCCAATTATCACGTTCCTGTTTGCCGGGCAATATAAGGTATGTGGGACCTTGATGAGCTGGATAAATGGCGACGGTGAGACGTGCTTGACTTTGGGAAGGATCTTCACGTTCCTCTGAATCCGAATCCGATACATGCTCAACCTCCTCGACGCGGGCATCGCGCATATTTATCTGGCCGAGAGGATTCTGGCGTAAAATAAGGCAACACGAGAGAGAGAGAGAGAAAGAGATAGAGAGAGATAAAGAGAGAGAGACAAAGAGAGATAGAGAGAGAGGGAAAATAAGAATTACTTTCGTTAAACTAGAGTTTGTTTAGCATATAAAAACTAGCTTACCGTCTCGCCCGGCGCCTTAAAGTACAGGAACATTTTACCCAACAACACGCACCAACATTTCTTCGCATGCCCATTCTTCACCTTTGTCACCCAACCCTGTATGGTGGGCTTCTGGTCGTCACGGCTCAACAGTAGCTTGGTGGCATTCCGACGCTGTACATTCTGCAGCACACGTATCCAATCATCCATTGTTGCGTTTGAGTCGGCGGTGAGATAGTAAACCTTCTTGCCCGTGTCAATCTCAAAGGTGGAGGCACCCTCCGCGCGATTAATGCGACACGCTTCGTCCAACATTATTTGACCTTGCGGCTTACGATTCATATCATGTTGACTCTTCCAGTAGGTGAGGGTGCCATTTTTGAGCACAAACCAACGTTTACGCCACGTCTTTAACTTACCGCCCAGTTTGGCGAGATGACCCATCTATTGGACGTAAGGGAGCGAGAGATCGAGTTACACGGCACGCGTATAAATGAGTTAAAGGATGAGTGGGTTATGGGAAGAGTGACCGAATGAAAACCGAGTGTGTATTGTTAAAAACGTAGAGAAAGATACATAACTCTCGTGTGCTTACCTTCTCTAGCGATTCAATCTTCTTACTCGGCGAATCCACATACGATTGTCGCATCAATAGCGACGGCATAGAGGCATCCATGCATGTGGACTCGGAGACCGCATCCGGCGGTAAGGCGTAATCATCCGACAGGCCTGATTCAAAGGAAATATCTGAAATTACTGTTCCACGCATGTGGGGGAGACGCAGATGATTGTTGGTATTCGTGGCATTGTTGTTGTGATTCGGCAATGGTAGGGTTTGTGTATTGGTATTGATGTTGCTGAAGGTATTGGTATATGGACCCAAATGTTGTGTGGTGTTGTTGTATGAGTGCATTGTGTTGTAATGATTGTGTTGTTTAGAGTTAGTGTTGTTGGTGTAATGTGTTGAAATGTGCATTTGGTGAGCTTCGAAATACAATTTTGGAGGTTATTAGACATGAGACCCAAATCACATTGAATTTTGATAGTAGTTTTAGTAGGGTTAATGAGGCCGGGACATTTAATGAGTGCATAAGAGAGTAAATTATTAGAAATTTGTTTTTTAAAATACAAAAAGTAGATATTTGGAAATTCTTCAAGGACATCTAAGAGGGATGGAGACCAAAATAGGTTCGGGTAATAGCAAAAAGGAAATATATAGTCATTTAGCAGAGCCTACGAGGAGCGATTGCTGGGTGAGATCAGAGGAAGGAAGTCATTCGGATTTATATTTATCCAATACCTGCGATGAGGCTTACTTAGGATTAATTTCTGTCTTGGCGGACGGAATAACCGAGTGGTTAGAATTGAGTATTGCCATTCAAAAAGTTATTTTTCGAATCCTGGCTAGACAAACCTCCGTGATTATAGTGTATAGGAGTATCACGCCCTCCGAGTGTCATTCTGACAAGAAAAAAAAATACCTTTCCTCTATTTGTTGGAAAAGATCAGGAGAAGAAGCTTCAGCGGTTATAAAGCTCCAATTATAAATATATATATATTTATATATCATGCCAGGCTCGTTAATTATACAATTCAAGTTATGACATGCGAGGGAATCTCATGTTCTCTGACCAATTTCTCAGCTTTGAGCCTATAGAAGGAGTGGAGTGAGTAATTGGGATAAAAACTTTGATGGCCATAATCTCGACGTAAAGAACAAATAATCAGAGCCAAAGATTTCCGAAGCTCCAAAAGTTTCTACATTACAATGAGGCAAACTAAATAAAAGAAAAATACAAATAATACATAATAGGAAAAACTAAAGGTTAAAACTAGTAACGGGATCAACTACTCAAGACTGCAGTCCCGATTAAACTCCTTTCTCATAACAGAAAGAGTTGGGGGAAGTGCATTCGTTTTCGGTTAGTATGGAAGTTTAGCTGAGTTTAGTTATTTAGTGGTGGTTAGGTGTTTTTGCTAGTGGTTACTGAGGTCTGCAGGCACAATCAACTACGCATCTTTACCCAAAGCCATAACATGCTATCCAATACATACCACGAGCTTTCGTATTCTTTGGACTCTCCGAACCACTGCGCTTAGCAGGACTCAAACTTGATGATGTCTTCAAGCTCTTGGATGGGCTTGAGGCGCTACCCGAGGTTGATGTTTCTGTGTTGTCGGTACTCGATGAGTTGTGAGAATTGTGCGTTAGCATAACGGCGTGGTCCTCGCCATCACTCGAGTCATCGCTGGAGTCGCCCGTAAAGGGCATGGAACGTATTTGGGAAGCGCGCTGAGGTAAGTAGAGTAGTTGAAACTCAATTTTAAATATGTTGAAAGGTAGCCAAAAGCATTACTTACCCCCTTGACGGTGGCATACACGGGCACCGATATATCACAGAAACCTCCGCTAGCGGTCTGTTGTTGGCGGGTGGGCAGTTGTGGTGTACCGGGCGCACCAATACTACCACCGCCGGTGCCGACAAACTCACCACGAGAACTACCTAACGTGCCATTGTTCGCCGGCGTAGCACGACCATGACCGCTGCCACCATTGGCCAAGGTATTACAAGCACTGTTGCTGCCCGCCGACGCTGCGCCGCTAGTGGATTCTTGTATGTCGGGTGGTGGTTGAGCGGACAACGGCAATTGGTGTACTTCCTGGTGTTGGTGTTGTGCTAAGTTTTCCTCACTCACTCCACTCAGGCCGTCATTGGCCACCTGATAGATTTTCGCCTCCCAACTGGGAAAGCGATGCAGTGGCGGCGTGGGTGGACGTGGCACGCCCAATTCGCTGGTCGTAGTTGTTGTGCTCGAATTACCACCGCTCGCCATCAGCGCTGGATTGTTTTTCATCCAAGCCGGCAACTTTTCGCATGACGGCGTATAGATCTCGGCATAATCGTGCGCAGTATCCGTGTCGGAACTGTCTGGCCTTGTGGTGGATGCTTTGGAGATGCTGGCCAGTGGTGTAAGCGTTAGTCCATCCACCGCGGCTACTAAGTTGCGTTCGAGCTCTTGCGGCTCCATGCTGAGATTTCGTCGATGCTGATGATGTGGATATGAAGCGGTTAATGGGCGATTGATAATCTCTTGTGGATCTAAACTCTCGCTGCGTCGTCGGCCCTCGGTTGAGTCGGCAAACTCTTGCACATCCAAACTCAGACTGTTACGCACTGGGTGTGGACCAACGCTACTGTGTCGGTTCGATTGATTGGCGATATGATTCTTCAAAAGCTCCAGTTGCTGGTTGCACTTAACGTTTTGTTCACGTAGCAATTGATTTTGCTCCTCGAGTTCACGCAGCTTATTGGTGACCCATTCTTTGATTTTCGCCGCTTTTGCCTCGACTTGTCGTGCGTCGTGCAGGCGCAGTTGACGTTGCTCCTCAACTTGTATCTCCAACGAGGTTATAGTTTTCTCAGCCTCTTGAGTTGGAAGACTAGTTGCTTGCTGTGCGGTTAAGGTTGATTGTTGTTGTTGCTGCTGTTGTTGTTGTTGGCTTTGATGGATCGGCGAGTTGGTGGCTGACTGTGGTGGTGGTTTGGGCCATTCACTCAGCCGCTGTTCCATAGCCCGCAC